ATTCTTATGATCGAAGAAATATTATATTTAAGCCATTTATAGTTATATCTATCACATTATTATTCTCTGGTTAAAATTGATAATAAACCTTACTAAGGATTATCTGGTAGCATTGTCAGGGTAAGTATTGGACTGCTCACCCCAAGGTCAGTGGTTTGAACCCACCAGCTCTGTAGGAGAAAGCTGTGGCTCTCTGCTCCTATAAAGACTCATGAGGCCCCGGAAACCCCGATGTAGAGTTGCTGTGAGTTGGAGTCGACTTGATGGCGCTGGGTTCAGTGTGGTTAAAGATTCGGTATGATCTGGTGTGGGAGGAGGCCCATGGAGGGTGCTGACATCATGAGTTACTGTCCTGGATGACAGTAGCCCCAGGGGTGCCACTACACAGCAAGCCTACGAGGTGAAAGCTGTGGTAGTTCCCGTGGTACAGTTGAAGAAACTGAGGCACGGGGCAGGAGTGCCTTGTTCAAGGTCACACCGCTCCCCATGGCAGAGCTGAGATTCCGTTCAGCTCAGTCTCTACTCTTCATTTGGTCCTTTCCTGCCTCCAGGATCTCAGGGCACAGCGTCCCCAGCCTTCCTGTCACATTTTCTAATTGGGCATTTCCTGATGGCTTAGTTGATTAAGCGCTACCTTCCCCACTAACCACTAATGACCATAGCAGCTAAGATATGGATCACTTAGTCTGCGATCTCACCACCCTCGAGTCAGTGCTGACTCACAGCGACCCCTCGTGGGCTGCCGAGACTGTAACTGTTGACGGGAGTGGAAAGCCCAGTCTTTCTCCCTCCGAGCTGCTGGTGGTTTCGAACTGCTGACCACGCATAGCCACTATGCCACCAGGGCTCCGTAGTCTGTGATAGGCATCATAATTGGCACTTTTATGCATACTCTAATTTCACCTTCTCAACAAATATTGCGATTATGATCTCCATTTTACACCCGGAGAGCCTGAGGAGTAGAGAGTCTGTGTAATGTGCCTACTAGGCTGGCAAGTCTCAGAGAGAAGAAACCTTGGGCGTTCACAAGCTCAAACCCCCTGCCTGGCATATAGCAGACAGCTAGGAGGAGGATGGGCAGGTGGATGGTGGCAGGAAGTGTGTTAGGGCTGGGGTGGTTTGTCTACCTGTCTCCAGTGCCCTTGCTCGGTTACAGCTAGGTCAACCTCAGACACATCTGACGTGACTTTGCTGCGTCTCTGTGCAGGGCCCACCATGCATGTGAAGAAGTACCTGGTGAAGTGCCTGCATCGGCTGCAGAAGGGCCCCGGCTACACATACAAGGAGCTGCTGGTCTGGTACTGCAACAACACCAACACCCACGGCCCCAAGCGCATCATCTGCGAGGGGCCCAAGAAGAAGGCCATGTGGTTTGTGCTTACCCTGCTCTTCGCCTCCCTCGTCTTCTGGCAGTGGGGTGTCTTCATCAAGACCTACCTGAGCTGGAAGGTCAGCGTGTCCCTTTCCATCGGCTTCAAGAACATGGACTTCCCCGCTGTCACCATCTGCAATGCCAGCCCCTTCCAGTAGGTGGTCCCTGGAGCACTCGAGATCACCTCACTGCAGAGGCTCTTCTGTCTTGTCTTCCTTCCAACTTTCTTTCCTGGCCTTCTCTTCTTCTCTTGCTTTTATTTTCCCTTTCATGTCTCCTTGTTCCCCTTCGCTTTTTTCTCTTCCTGTCCTCCCTTCTCTTTCTACTCTTTTCTTTCATTTTTTCCCACAAAACAGACTCACTGCCATCAAGTAGATGCCGACTCACAGCAACCCTACAGGACAGACTAGAACTGCCCCTGTGAGTTTCCAAGACTGTAGCTCTTTAGGGAGCAGAAAGCCCCAGCTTGCTCTCATTGAGCAGTGGGTGGTTTTGAACTGTTGACTTTGCAGTTAGCAGCCCAAGGTGTAACAAGCAAGCTTTAAAATTCACAAAAACCCATCAGACTTGACTGGAAAACACTCATGAAGGTCAACAAACAAACCTGGAACTATTTATAGGCTTTTCTTTTTGGTTGTTTTTTGGTTTTGCGTTGTTTTACTTTTGCCTTTATCATTGTTTTTGCATGTCTATCTAGATAATATAGGCGAGATAAGCAATCCAGAGCAGAAAACAACAGGCCTAATGATTCACAGTAAAGGGGGAGGCAGGGAAAGGAAAGGAGGGAGCCAAAAAAAACAAGGACAAGGGAACAAGTGATCTAAAATCTATGGCAAGGAGGGCATAGGATGTCTGGTGGGGTTTGATCAAGTGCAAGGTAGCCAAGAGGAATTAATGAAAGTTGAATGAAGGTCAAACATAATTGTGGGACAAGAGGAAAGTAAAAGGAAATAAAGGAAAAACTAGGAGGCAAAGGATATTTATAGAGGTCTAAGTATAGGCATATACGTATGTAAATATATTTATATATAAGGATAGGGAAATAGATCTATGTACACATATTTATATGTTAAGTATTAAGGTAGCAGATGGACATTGGGCCTCTACTCAAGTACTCCTTTATCGCAAGAACACTTTGTTCTAATAGCCTGGCATTCCATGATACTTACCTTCCCAATACCATCGCTGAAGACAAAATGTGTGCATAAGCAAATGAGGTGAAGAAAGCTGATGGTGCCCAGCTATCAAAAGTATAGCATCTGGGGTCTTAAAGGCTTGACAAGTGAGGCTACAAACAAGTGGCCATCTAGCTGAGAAGCAACAAAGCCCACATAGAATAAGCACATCAGCTTGTTCATGAGGTGTCGATGGGATCAGGCATCAGGCATCAAAGACCCAGAACTGAAAATCATATGTATGTGAATGAGGGGGAGGGCAGAGTGGAGACCCAAAGCCCAGCTGTAGACAATCAGACATCCCCTTACAGAAGGGTCACAAGGAAGAGAGGATCCAGTCAGAGTGCAATATAGCACCGATGAAACATACAACTTTCCTCTAGTTCTTTAATGCTTCCTCCCCACCACTATCATGACCCCAATTCTAACTTACAAATCCGGCTAGACCAGAGCATGTATCCTGGTACAGATAAGAGCTCAAAACACAGGGAATTCAGGACAGATAAACCTCTCAGAACCAATGAGAGTAGTGAGTACCAATACCAGGAGGGTAGGGGAAGGTAGGGGGAGAAATCACAATGATTGACATATAACTCCCACCCAGGGGGATGAACAACAGAAAAGTAGGTGAAGGGAGACAGTGGTCTGTGTAAGACATGACCAAAAAAAATGTATAAATTATCAAGGGTTCACGAGGAAGGGAGGAAGGGGAAAAAGTGAGGAGCTGATACCAAGGGCTCCAGTAGAAAGAAAATGTCTTAAAAATGATGGTGGCAACATATGTACAAATGTGCTTGACACAATGGAGGGAAATATGGATTGTGATAAGAGCTGTAAGAGCCCCCAATAAAATGGTTTTTAAAGAAAGAAACCCTCAGGGCCCGGTCTCCAGCCATCCGCAGTCCCATGGACAGTGGTTAAGCCGTCAGCGGCTACCTGGAAGGTCAGCGGCGGCCGCTCTGTGGGAGAAAGAGGCGGCATTCTCCTCCCACCAAGATTCACGGCCTCTCAGGGAGGCCGGCGGTTCGACTCTGCCCTATAAGGCTGTGATGCGTCAGAAGCAACATGATGGCAGGGGATCTGGGTTTGTTTGTTTTTCAGGTATGCTAATACCTATCCAGAGGGGACTGTTAAAAGTCTGGGAGGGGCGGGAATTCCATTATCTTCTAATTCCACGTTGCCACAAATTTTCAGAAGCCCTCTTGTATGTGTTCAGTAGGTCTTTATGGAGATTCCCCAGTTATAAGAGTCCCACCCCCACCCCCAGGAGGCACCATCAGGCTCTGACCTGATGGGCAGCTTGGATTCTACCTCCACACTTGCGTACATCCTCAAGTTGATATAAAATCGCCAAACTACCTCACCTGCCCACCAGCATGGTCAGGCGTCAAGAGGCAACTGCCCCGCCCCCTCCCGCAACCTCTCTGACAGCCCTCTCTCCCATCCAGATACTCTGTACCGGGCCCTGTTGCAGGCATACAGTAGTACACAAAACCATGCCCCTGCCCTCATCACAGCCCGGCAGAGAAACAGGTTTTCTCACAGGTGTTGAATGACTCGCCCTTGTGATGGTTTCAAAAACTGACAACTGCCATGAGGGCTTGTGAAGTACGAGGCAGCGCGTGGGCTGGAGAGGAGGTGGGGCAATGTCTCCCATTTTAATGGGCACCACCCACCTAGCGGTAGGTACTGTTCTAGCGGCCCTGCTGGGGATGAGGACACGGAGATCCAAAGAAGGGAGCTCCCTCGCCCAGGGACACATGCAGGATCTGAGCCTCGGCCTGGTTTGACCCCAGAGTGGGCGGTTTTTCACCATTCTGCCTGTTGTCCCCCAGGAAGACACGGCCCGTGAAGAGCGCCTGCGCGTTCTGGAGAGGCAGAGAGTTCGTCGGTCAGAGAAAAAGGACCCCCAGAAATGAGCAGCAGTTGACCAGGCAGAACAGGGAAGGTGCCCCCAAGGGGAGCCCCTGCACGTGCAGAGGCCCAGACGTGAGACGCCGGCGGGACAGTGCTGCGAAGGACACGCTTGCCACACCTTGGGTCACACTTAGCGTTATTCGAAAGCCGTCCTTTCTAGTAACAGGGCTCTGGCCTGCTGGGCTGGGTCCTTGGAGCCACTTGAGAGAGCACCCTTCGTCATAACAGTGACAGCAAGAACACTCTGTCCCCGGCACTGTTCCAAGTGCTTCATGAGCATCACCTCGCTGAATCCTCCCAGCCGCCCTCAGCGGTGGTAAATAGTTTCACACCCCCTCCCATTGTGTACATGAGGGAACAGAGCCTCAGAGGGGCACACCTTCCCAAGGTCACACAGGCATGCAGAATTCAAACCCAGAGTCACATGGTAGCCCACCTATGCCAACAGTTCCTGTGGGCAATGCTCCAGTCTGCCACTTTGCCAGCCTTCCTCTTCCTGTGGGCACCCCACTGGTTTATTTCAAGGCCCGGGGACGGTGGGACCAGAGTCGGGGCCTGCTGTTAACCTCTGGTTGCTCTACACTTTGGACTGGCACCTTGGCCCCTGTCCAGGGTTGTGCCGTGCAGGCAGCCGCCCAGTTGGAGTGGGCCCGCACTGTCCTGGTGGCCACAGGCTGCAGCAGGGTAGGAGGTGGCACCGGGATACTGTTGTGAGCACATGGCTGCCCAACAGGCTGCTCACCACTTCCAGGAGCTGAGAGAAGCGACGGAAACCCAGGCCCCAGCCCTGCTCCTCCCTCCTGAAACTAGCTCCTGTCCCCCAGGCTGCACAGGAGAGCTAGGACCCTCAGGGTCTTCCAGAGGGGAGACATCAGGATCCTGCGCACAAGCATGGTGCCCCTGGCAGCCCACCGAGTCTATCCAGAGGGAGCCATGGAGAATCCCCAATCCCAATGCTTCCATGTCCTCATCTCTAGGTGGGGACGGAAATGGGATTGTGGTGAAGTATAGCTTAGAAGGCCTCTAGCATTGGGCATAGTGAGCTCGTAGGACTCCTCCCCACTGGAATGTGAACTTCATGAGCAAAGAAGCTCAGGCTGTCTTGTTTGCACACAGGTCTTGGCACATAGTAGGTACTCATGAAACAGTTGGTGAAGGAATTAGTAAGTAGGTAGGGAGCAGGCAACGTGGCAGTGGGTGGAGAGGTGGGACCTGGCAGGGAATTCTTCCTAGCCCCTGGAGGCAGAGACCCTCCCTGATTCCATTTGTCCTGCTGTGTTAGGCCGAGTTGTCTAGAGAAACAACTCCAGTGACCCTCATTTGTGTATAAGAAAGAGCTTGCTGTCAAGAAGCCACTATATGCGAGAAGGCATCCCAATCCAGTCCAACTCAAATCCTTAAGTCTGATGCTCATCGATAAGTCCCTCTTCAGACTCACGTGGTCACAGACCAGGGACGCCGAATGGTGAGCAGGACGCAGAAGGATTACAGGCCGGGTGGTGTAGAGTCAGATGGATCCCAAGTCGGTGGAAACATGGCAGGATGTCCCCAGCCCCCAGGGTCACAGCAGCACCCCAGTAAGCAAGAAGGCAAAGGGGCAGAGGGGGAGAGTTCCCCCAGATTCCCCGGTTATAAGAAACCCCCCCAAAGGAGGCACCATCAGGCTGTGACCTGATGGGCAGCTTGGATTCCACCCCACCCCCCACTTGCATACATCTTCAAGTTGATATAAAATGATGAAACTCCCTCACCTGCCCACCAGCATGGTCAGGCATCAAGACCCCGCCCCCTCCCACAACCTCTGATTGCCCTCTCCCCCATCCAGATACTCCAAAGTCAAGCACTTGCTGAAAGACCTGGACGAACTGATGGAAGCCGTCCTCGAGAGGATCCTGGCTCCGGAGCCGGGCCATGCCAACGCCACCAGGGCCCTAAACTTCACCATCTGGAACCACACACCCCTGGTCCTCATTGATGAGCGGGACCCCCACCACCCAGTGGTCCTGGACCTCTTCGGGGATAACTACAACGGCTCAGCAAGCAGCAGCCCGGCGCCCGGCAGCATCTGCAATGGCCAAGGCTGCAAAGTGGCCATGAGACTTGTAAGTGGCTGCTGGGGAGTTGCTTTCCTGGAAGACCTTCCTTGGGTCGGGCTGCGGCGGGGAGGCTGGCTGAGCGCCAGGGCCTTCTTTTTGTTTGCAGAACTTGTCCAAAAAGATCTAGCTGGTATGTTCAGCAAGACCCCTTTGGATGCAAATGACCCAGTTCACGCTAGCATAAGCAAAGCAGTATTTTTTATTGGTACACGCACATACACACACTCATGCGCGCGCTCTCGCGCACACAGCAAGTCTGTTGTGTTAAGGTGTGCTGGGACCAGGTGCTCAGATGGGGTCATTCGGCCCCTCTCTCTCCATATGCTGATTTCCCTCTGTGGCAGGCCCCCCGTATAGGGGCTCCTGGCAGCACCAGGCTACCATCCCACCACCCAGTGGCCCCCGCAGGAGAAGTTCTCCTGCTTCCCAACAGCAGGCCAGCTGCCTTTGAGCTGAGCCCGCCCCATCGTGACCCCCAGTGCATCAGGGTTTTGAACCTCTGACCTTCTGGCTAGCAGCTGGAGCCGTTGATGGTCTGCGACACCAAGGAGAAAATCGACCATTGAAAGACCCTCGGGAGCCTAGTGCCATGCCTGCGCTGTCCTTTGCGGAGAGCTGGCAGTGGTGATGGGGGTGCGGGGGCAGGGGGGCTGCACCCCTGCAGACTCAGGTCTACCTGTCCTTCCTAGAGCAGTGGAGGGACTCTGTTCGCTGCCCCTGTAGCCTCAGGCAGAGCTGGGCTGGCATCTGTCCAGCACAGTGGTTCTCAACCTTCCTCATGCTGAGACCCTTTCATACAGTTCCTCATGTGGTGACCCCCCCACCCCAAACCATAACATTAGTTTCGTTGCAACTTCATCACTGTCATGTTGCTACTGTTAGGAATCGGGCGACCCCTGTGAAAGGGTCGTTCAACCCCCAAAGGGGTCGTGACCCACAGGTTGAGAACCGCTGGTCCAGAGGAAGAGTCGGGGAACCCTAAGGGCCTGTGTCTCTAAAGGAGGCCCCATGAGGGGGTCTCATGAGGATGAGTGTGGTGCCCCCGGTGTGAATCTGGGAACATCGAGGGGAGATGGAGAGAGGTATGAGGAGCCCCGGTGATGCCGTGGTTAAAAGCACTCAGCTACCAACAGAAAGGCCGAGGGTTCAAACCCACCAGCTGTAGTGCAGGAGAACGACGACGTGGCAGTCAGCTTCCATAGAGATTGACAGCCTTGGACCCCCTATGGGGGAGAGCTCCTCTGTCCCGCAGGGTCACTAAGAGTCAGAATCGCCTCGATGGCAGGTTCTAGCTGTGCGCTGCTTGTAACCATGACGTCACGTGGCTAGAGCTGTCAGGGGCTCCCTGTCTCCGGGCGCATGTGTGCAGGTGAGCACGTGTGTGGGTTTTGCTCATGTCCACCGCAGACACTTCCACAGCCCCCTTTGCAGAGCGGTGCCTGGGAAGGTGGGTGAGCTGTGTGAACACAATCTCGTGTGTGAGGCAGAAGTGGGTGTGAGTGTGGGCAACTCTCCCAGCAGCCAGGTCATGGGCCACACGGCCACACACTGCCTGCACCCTTGACAGTGATGGGGGGCCCCTGCCTGCAGCACCCACACCCACAGGACCCCTTCTCGCCCTCCACAGTGCAGCCGCAATGGAACGACGTGCACCTTCCAGAACTTCACAAGTGCCACGCAGGCTGTGACAGAGTGGTACGTCCTGCAGGCCACCAACGTCTTCTCCCAGGTGCCGAGAAAAGAGCTGATGAAGATGGGTTACCCCAGCGAGCGGCTCATCCTGGCCTGCCTGTTCGGGGCCGAGCCCTGCAACCACAGGTGAGAGGCTGCGGAGGGTGGTGACTGGGAGCCCAGACTGGCCAAGGTTCAAATCCTGGTTCGGCCACTTACCAGCTGTCGGCACCAGTTTCCCCGACTGGGTTTCCTGGAAACCGAGCTAGAACCTGGGAGGCACCGAGGGCGTCTCTTTAGGAAAATGTGAAAGGGAAGGAGGATTACAGGGAAAAGCAAGGAAATCTAGCCTTGGCCTGACCCTTCCTGGAAGAAGACAAACCTGTGGGGCTGCCCCCACCTCATGGCGACCCTCCTGCATCACAGTTGGACTCTGCCCATAGCGTTTTGGGGGGCTCGGGTTTTGGAATTAGATCACTAGGCCTTTCTTCTGAGGTACCTATGGGTGGATTTGAAACCCAACCTTTTGGTTAGCAGCTGAGCACATGAACAGTTTACACCACCCAAGGATCCCAGGGCTGGCCTTTGTACCCCGACATCTGCCATTGACTGTGGGCTTCCTCCAGGGGGCTAGGTTGGGGTATTCTAACTTCCCAGGCAAGGGGGCTCATCAGCCTGGGACAATCTCAGGAGGAAGGGACACCGAGTTGTCAACAGTCAAAGATGGGTGCAGCCCGGCACAGGGCACCTGGGGGAGGGCATCCCACCATCCCCTGCCCTTAGTTTTCGTATCTCTGTGAGGGGGACAATGGCCATGTTTCCCTGGCAGTTACTGCGAAGGGTACAGGGGTTGGTTCATGTCCGCTCTCAGAGCAGGGCCCTGTAAGGGCTGCACAACCCTCTGAGAGGGGCCAGAGGATGGAAGAAGAGTAGCCAGGACATCCAGGTCTCCTTACAACCAACTAGGCCTCCTTTCCTCTCCCTGCCCTGAACTAACCAAACCCAGGGAAATGGAGGCGCAAACAGAATACAATTGAAGAGACTGTTGGCACCTCGAGAAAAATGTAAGGTCACTGAACAGTTTGTATAGAAATGGCTATAGACAACCAAACTTGCCTTGTAAGCTTTCACACACACACACACACACACACACACACACACACACACACACGATATTATTTAACCAAAATAAAATCCTCAGCCTAGGAGCCAGCCCTGTCCTGTGTCTCCCCCCGACCCTCACCTTGTGGTACCCCTCAGAGGGGAGCAGCTTGTAGATCGTGAGCTGGTTAAGACAAGAAGCCTACCGAACCGTCAGCACAGTAGGCTGGCCCGGGGCAGCCCCTCCAAGTGAGGATGGCGGCTGGCCACACCTGCCTTGTCTCCCCCACCCTTCATCCCCCACCGCCTTCACCACCACTACCACTTGGGTAAGTCTGGTTCCCAAGAGTTTCTGGCATCTTCCTCCTCTGAGCCTCCAAGTTCGCTCACGGCAGCTCTCTAGGAAAAGGTCTCTTTCTGAATCTCCTGCTTCTTCAAGCCTCACCCTCCCGGGGCCATGCTGTTGCCTCAGCCTGGCTCGCTCAACTTAAGAGCCTTCAGGAGGCCCTGGATGCTCTGCTCTGAAAAAAATGGACAGTCATTCTGCCTGTAATGTCCAGGAATCCAGGGTCCATCTGACACGGTCCTCGTGGCCTTTTTGTTGGTTATAGGACAAGGTGCCCCTGACAGGGAGTCCCTGAACGGAGCAAAGGAGGAGGAGCATCCGGGTCCCAGCTCCTGTGGGAGCAATGGATCTTCTTGGAATTCTTCGGTGGGGGAAGCTTAGTCTCTTCTCAACTCATTTATCTATTCCCTCACTTCTTCGCTCTAGTATCAACGTGTGTGTAGTTTATACGTGGGGCTGTAATCCAATACTGGGTTCTCCCCTGGCTCATTTCGTCCATCTTTGGCCACTGGAACTTGGTTCCTCTGGCCCCTTGGAATGTCTTTCCTTACCTGTTTGTTTGTTTGTTTGTTTGTTTGTTTGTTTGAGCATTTCCTGGCTTTTGGGTATGGCATGATTCTCCAGAGCTGGAATCAGTTCAAGGATCCCTGGTTCCTTGTATTAGAGAAGGCTATGCAGAGACTGTGATCTGGGAGCATGTACACATTTATTACTACTACTACTATTACTTCAGTGGTAAAAGTACTACTGTCGGGTAGAAAGAGTACTACAATTTGTGAATGACCAGAAGGCTTCTGCCCCCAAAGCCTTCCTTGCCCCCCAGCCTGCATCTGGGTCACCCAGTCCCGGTGCCGTTTCAGGACTCCCTGCATAGTGCTGTGCCCTGCAGCTGCGCGCCTCTGTAAAGGTTGCAAAGGGACAGTCTGCCTCTGGGGCTGGAAGCAGCCATGCAGGGAGCAGCCTCTCTGGGTAGAGAGCCTTGTCAACAAGCAGGTGGCACAGACAGTGAGCTACGGGCACAGCCCCACTCCGCCAGCCTCTGCTCCTTGGCAGCCTGTGTCCAGACTGTTTCTTGAGAACACGGTGTCCCTGCTCCCCTAGTGGGGATGGGGGGGTGCTCCTAAGCAGTGCCTGGCTTGAGCTGGTTTGCCCGCACTGGGCTTTGCATGGCTGAGGCTGGGACCCTGCAGGGACTTCCCACAGCTGCTTTCCCTCAGGGCCTGGTGTGTCCTTTCTGTGCCCTGCCCCTGGCCCTGGCCACTGCCTCCTCCTCCCCAGAGTCTCCGCTCAGCCCCCACTCCTCCAGGAACCTTCCCTGCCCGCCCTCTCCCACCCCCGAGGGAATTAGGTGTCCCTCCTTCAGGCTTATCTCTGTTGGTGCCCTTATCACATGTGATAATTTATTCAACAAATATTTACTTAGTGTCTGTCTACTAGGTGCCCGGTGCTGGGGACAAGCGGGAAGGAGTAGCAACCAGTGTTTGCTGAGTGTGACAGTATGCTAGGTATCTGACCCCACCCCCGGCCCTATAGGGAGGTGCTGCTGTACCCCTGGGCTGCAGGTGGGACAAGGATGGCACAGAGAGGTCGGGTGCCCTCCCCAGGTCCAGAAGCTAGTAGGTCTCGGAGCTGGAGCACACAGCTGGAGCACACAGTTTGAGGTTGAAGAGGCTTTCTGTGCTTGAGGTTTTCTGTGCTTGGCCGCTGAGCCTCTTCAACCTCAAACTGGCAGGGCCACTGCCCAGGTTTGACTTAGATTCAGTGCAAATAAAGAAGACGCTTTCAAAGGTTAACATGTGCTGCAGGGGGGATTCACTCACCCACCATTGGAGACCCCACAGGGTCCACCATGGCTGGGGTTTCGTTTGTTTCTGTGTTCCCCCCCACCCCCCAGAAGTGATTACCAGGCCTTTCTTCCAAGGTGCTTCAGGGTAAATTCATACCGCCCACCCTTTGGGAGACAGCTAAGCTCCTGAACTGTTTTTCCCGCCACCCAGGATTCCTGGGAAGGGAAGAAGTGGGTGGAGATGATGGAGAGAAACTTGGGCAGGAACAGCTTTGCAAGGAGGCTGCTGGGAGAAGCAGCTAAAACCTAAAAAGCAAGGAAAGAAAATTCCAGGCAGATGGATCAGCTTCGAGTCTGGTAACATCTCGGGAGTGTTGCCGAGGCACCAAGGATGCTACAAAAAGGCCCAGCTCCGAGCTTGCATTTGATTCTGGGAGGTGCTAACCAGAGGTGCCAGGGTCTGACTGAGCAGTGTAAACCACCCCCTATTGCTGGGCAGGGACCCCTGGGTAATGCACACTATGAACACACTCAACTGCTAACCGACCATACCTAGAAGTGCCTCAGAAGAAAGTCCTGGCAAGGCAAACCAAAAAAAGTCCTGATTGCTTCCCCCAAAGCCAGCCACTGACAGCCATACTCTGACACGCACGGGCTCACTGACTGCTTTGCAGGGGAGGGTTTTCATGGGGTAGCAGCTGCAGCTCCTGGCTGAACCCAGCAGGGAAATGCCTTGGGCTCGGAAGCAGAGAAGCAGCCAAGCTAGAGACAGACCCCTGTGGGGACGCTGCTCTGTGCGCTGGAGGTGTTCATCTTGATGTCGCTGCCTAGTCCCCGCCGCCGCCTCCACTCTTAGTTGAGTGAGGAAAAGGTGGTGCCCCTTTTGCAGCCCAGAGGTTGAAAACATGCCCAGAGCAGACCTTGGCAGGGCCGGAGCTGAACTGGTATCGGCTTTCACAGCCTGCCCTGAGATCAACCATAGACACAGGAAATCGCTTCCTTCTCTGAAATAGGGACAAAGAATACACTTGACCTCCTGGGGTTATTTCGAGGATTAAAGCAGTTGTGTATAAAAATATCCAACCAGAGCCTGGCCCATAAAGGTGTGTGTGGTGGGATGCCTCGGGCCACTGAGTCACTGTTGACGGAGAGCGACCCTATAGGACCGAGTAGAGCGGGTTCTGGAGCTGCAGGTTTCCAGGAAGCCGACTACTGCAGCTCTCTCACAGGACAGCCAGCCGCAGGTGAGCGCTTCAGTCCGGTACCACCAGAGCGCCTCTTTTTGGGGGAGGTAGAATCCGTGGCTTTTATACTGTACTTTACTTGACTGTATTTGCAGCATTTTGTTTTATTAGCTTTTGAAAAGGAACCGTGGAAAACCATCAAGACATTTTTTGTTACATGTTCCACTTAATGACACTGATTACATTCTTTGGGTTGCTTAACCCTTCGCATCCCCTTTTGCTGAGTTGTCCCTCCCCCATCTATGCAATTCCACTGTGCACTGACATTCCTAGATAATCTTTAGAGGTGCTATTGCCAATTTCATTACATATCCCAAACCTACTCCCAGCGAGTCGATTGCTACTCATAATGACACTACACAGGTTTACCAAGGCCATAAATCTTTAAGGAAACACATAGTCTTATCTTTCTCCCAGGGATCGACTGGTGGATAATTCCAACATTTACATGACATGGCCACCTGGGCTCTTTCCCATATATGTAGTTCTCCAAACAGGATAATGCTCAAACAGGTTTTTTTTAGCCAGTTAAGTTAAACTATTGATTGAAATTTAAGGACTTGGGGTTTTTCCCCCTTTTTCTTTAAGTTTTAAAACTTATTTCAAGGGAATAGTTTCAGGGGTTCATCCAGCCTTCTTGGCTCCAGGAATCCTGGATTCTATGGAAATATATAGATATATCTGTTTTGCATTTACCCAGTTTTGATCAGCAAAAGACACATTTAAGACTATGATGGGGGGAGGGGGGAAATGAGGAGCTGATACCAAGGGCTCAAGTAGAAAGAGAATGCTTTGAAAATGATGATGGCAGCATAGGTACAAATGAGCTTGACACAATGGATGAATGTATGGATCGTGATGGGAGATGTAAGAGCCCCCAAGAAAAAAAAAGGCTATGATGGAGAATTGGTCCCCCGACATCCAGACTTAGGGCTTTCCCTCCCCACAAGGCTGCGGCCAGCCCAGACACCACAGTCTGACACCTGTCAGCAGGTGTCTCAGACTGGGTCTCCTTTACAGGCTTCACAACAGAACCATCATCCCCCCGGAAAATATTACCAGTCATTTGGGAGAAAGAAGAGGCTCTCTACTTCTGTCAAAAGTGACAGCCCCCGAAACACACAAGGGCGGTCTGGCTATGTCCTCTAGCAGGACATAGTGTTAGTCTGGGTAGACTAGAGAAACAAATCCATAGAAATTCATATGTGCACAAGAGAGAGTTTTATATGAAGGGTAACTGTACATGAACAAAGCATCCCAACCCAGTCCAGTCCAAGCCCATAAGTCTGATATTATCCCATATGTCCAATACTGATCTATAAAATCCTATTCAGATTCATGAAACACGTGCAATGACGCCAAATGCAGGACGATCACCGGCCAGTGGGTATTATAAAATTACAATGTCTGAGAGTTGCTTCAAAATCCTCGGGGATGGGGTGGCAGCGTACACACAAGAGGCTCTGACCCCCATGTGCTTCACTGCTCACGCCTCTCTGATGTTCCATCACAAAGTGACGGCGATGCCGGCGGGCCTCTAAGGACACCGAGCATCTTGATGGAAACGTTGCTTTTATACACATTGAATTCTTTTCTTGGGAGACATTTCTAGGTCTAATGTGGGATATTGTATAAGGTGCTTCATGTTGAAGGTCTCTAACGCCACCTTCTCCAGGTCCAAGTTGCCCCTGCCTGCCCTCCGTCTGGGCCCAGGTCCCCTCTGCGTTCCCAGGTCCCCGGCCCACTGTTCGGGACTCAGCCAGCTCCTTTCGGCAAACTCTATCTGAGTTGCCGTGTTCCTCGTAAATGCAAAACCGTGTTCAGCAGACAGAGGAAAACAGCTTAAAAATGTCTTTTGTCATCCTGGCCTGAGAGCCCGACCCCAGCAGGACCCCTCTCTCCCCTCTGTCTGAGGACCCATCTCCGGCTTTGGCACCAGGGGCCCTCTCCCTTCCTGAGCCTCTCGGGTCACTGATATAGAGAGACTCGGTGGGCCCCTGGGCATGGCTGGACTGGGCTGCCCACGCTCACCAGCCAGGGATCTTGCTTCCAGGAACTTCACATCCATCTTCTACCCTGATTATGGCAACTGTTACATCTTCAACTGGGGCATGACAGACAAGATCCTCCCTTCCGCCAACCCTGGAGCTGAATCTGGTAAGTCTTGACTCATGAGTTGGGGCCATGAGACCGTCAGCTGTGAAGGGGCAGGGAGTCTACTGTGGCCCAGGGGAGGCTGAGCCAGTGCAGTCATGGCCATGCTTTTGCCCGGAGCTCCTAAGTCTGGGGCTAGGGACTGTTGTTCCCATTTGGCAGGTGATCGGGAGCCAGTGCTGCTCGGTGGTCAGGAGCTCATGTTCCTAGGGCCCGGGTCTAGCCCCAGCTCCACCATTTACTTATTGGGTGATCTGGCCAGGAGACTGGACTTCTTGAAGCCTTAACTTCTCTATTCAGATAATGGGTGCGGGGGGTGGGGGTGGGGGGGGGGTGGTGGTGGTGGTGGTACTCAGCGGCCTTTTTGAGTCACATGGCAGAAGGCGGGTGAACAGCCCATCCCAGAGCCTGGCAGGCAGTGCTGCTGCCAGCTGCCCACTACTCAGCCTCACTCTGGCGAACTTGGGCACAGTGGAAGGAAGCATGGTCCAGTTGGGCTCATCTCAGGGCCAGATGAGGGTGGGCCTGTTGTCATCATAGCATTTCCATTGGCTGGAGTGACTGGAAGTAGATAACCATACGGTTGCCATTGGCTGGGATGCCTGGAAGTAGATTACCATAAGGTTGCCATTGGCTGGGGTGTCTGTCAGGAAGTAGATTGCCAGGCCTTTCCTCTTAGTCTGAAAACCCTGCTGAGACCTGTTTAGCTTCACAGCAGCACATGGCTTCTACTGACAGGAAGTGTGCTGGCTGTGCCTAAGGCTTACTGGCTGGGGAGCAAAGCCATGGGAGGCAAGACTTCTCAGCAGGCATGATGTATTAGTCCAGGTTGACTAGAGAAACAAATTCATAGATACTCATATGTGTATAAGAAAGAGTTCTATACACAAGAGCAATTGAATGTTGAGGAAACATCCCAACCCAGTCCAGATCAAGTCCATAAGTCTGATATGAGCCCGTATGTCTGATACTAGTCCATAAACTCCTCTTCAGACTCACGTAGCTCATGCAATGATGTCGAATGCAGGAAGATCACAGGCCTAGGGGTAGAAAGTCTTGTGGATCCAGTGGCGGTGGAAGCATCTCAACGCTGAGGCGGGTCTCCATGTGTCTCCTCCAGCTCTCTGAGTGTCTCAACAGCAGGAAAGGGAAGGCAGGGAGACTGGGTCTGGCCTCCAGGGAGCTATTTCTCTCCTTTGTGCCTCCGAATGAGGTCATCAAGCTGCAACCTGATTGACAAGTTAAACTCCACCCATTCACTCAGGTTGACAGGAGATGATGTAACTGCCACACACAAGGTGCTCTGAGAGACAAGGGCATTTGCAGAATGTTCCCACCTAGCAGAGCAGTTACTATTCACCTCCTGGAGAGGGACCATCACGGCGAGCAAGGGAGTGAGGAGAAGAGCAGGCAGGATGTGACTGCCGAGGGTGCTGCTTCTCTGGAGGGGCTGCGCCGACCACTGGGTCCCCTGGGAAAGGCTGGCACACAGGTTGTGAGCCTGGCATCTGACCCCTACCAATAACCGAGAGACATGTCACTCAGTGCCCTTTGGGGCTGCTGGCCCGCAGAGTGGGCCAGCTGAGCTACGTGGCCTTCATTCAACCCCTGTGCTCAGGAAGCCGGTCAGCGTGGCACCCACGTGCAGGCAGCTCTCTTGACAGAGGCAGAGGGTGGCCCTGCCCGCATTAGAACCTCAGCTCCACCCCTGACTCACTAGGCGGCCCTGGACAAGTCCCTTCATCCGTTTCCTGCTGGGCCTCGGTTTCCTCCTCTGTAAAATAAGGAGAATAAAGCTCCCTAGCTCACGCGGCTCTTGTGAGCTTCCAGTAAGAGCATGCAGCTCAACGCTCGTCTGCCTGGGGCTGGTGCACTGCAATAAGCGTGAGCCCTTGCGGTCCGAAAGGAGGCTTGTGGTGCAGTGAGTTAAGCACTGGGCAGCTAACAGGAAGGCTAGCATTTCAAACTGACATCACCTCTGTGGGAGAAAGACTCAGCGTCTACTTCTGACTTTCACAGGCTGGAAGCCCTGGGCAGCAGTTCTGCCCTGTCCTCTGGGGTCACTATGAGTTAAAATTGACTCAAGGGCCATGGGTTTTATTGTCCCAACTGGAGGGTCTTGCTTGTTAGAGGAACCCTCCACTCAGACACCCGCTGTCACAGCATCACAGTGCATCAAACGTCAGGTCTAAGCCCCCCCTCCCTTCCCCTACCCCCCACCCGAGGAAACCATCTGCGGCAAATTCATAGCAACTGAAAGGGTCTCCTTTGGGGTGATGAGGCAGCTTTAGGACTATAGAGAAGTGTCAGTTACACAGCTTGTGGGCATTTATTCAATGCTCCTGAATCGTCCACTTTAAACCGGCTGGTTTTCTGGGATGAACCTCACCTCAATGAAAAATGTCATTGATTCTAACAGCAGCAGCAGAAGCGCACAGTCTGCTGGGAGTGGGAGACAGACTGTAAGACAAGTGAGGCAGGTAACTAGGGTCTGGCGAGTGTGCGACAAAGACCCCAGACCTAGGCAGTCAGGGAAGGCTTCTGGGAGAAGTGGCCCCGGACCTGAGTGTTACAGAAAGGGCAGTTCCACCCAGGCCCAGGGTGAGGACAGGTGCAGATGCAGGGTGAAGAAGCACCCTGTTGAAAGGCCCCAGAGGGGGCATGTGGAAGGAGTGAGGACACGAGTGTTGCATGCTGGGTCGCTATGCTGTGCCTCCTGGGGCCCTGCAGGGACCACCACCCTCTCCGGGCTGTGTGGAGGAGGAGCTATGCAGAGCCCAGGCCAGAGGGGATGACGGCTAGGATGAGGGTAGAGGCCAGGGAGCGGGCATTAAAGTTGGAAGTCTGGGGTTTTGAAAGCTTCCTTTATCTGCAGTGGGCTTTTAGGTAAGTGGGGGGTGGGGGTGGGTAGGCCTCTCTTTTGGTATGAGATGCAAGCTCAGGCAGCCTTCGGCCCACCTCCCCACAGGCCTGAAGCTGGTCCTGGACATAGGCCAGGAGGACTACGTGCCCTTCCTCACGTCCACTGCCGGGGCCCGGCTGATGCTGCACGAGCAGAAGTCCTACCCCTTCATCAAAGACGAGGGCATCTACGCCATGGCAGGGACCGAGACGTCCATCGGGGTCATGGTGGTATGGCCTGGCCCATGAGCACCCCCAGAGGGACGAGCAGGGGGAGCCCACCTACCTGAACACAGGGACCCCAGCCTCCTTCAAGTTTGACCACCCCTTCCCAGTCCCCTCCTGGCTAGAAGGCCACCAACTGACCCATCCCCTGGAGACGTGAGTGCCCACAGGCACCCCCTCTGGGGCCTGCAGCTCTTCCCCCCCCACACACCCAGAATCCCTGCTCCCCACAGGCTTAGTGCTTTATAGAGCTCAATGGGAAGGTGGTGCAGCGGGGGCTTCCTGGCAGTGATCAGGGTGCCCACAAGCCATTTGTCTGACACAGGACAAGTTGGAGCGCAAAGGCAAGCCCTACAGCCAGTGCACCATGAATGGCTCCGACGTCCCCATCCGAAACCTCTACAGCAGCTACAACACAACCTACTCCATCCAGGTGGGCAGACGGTGCAGGCCCCATGGCCGAGGGCCTGTCTGCGTACGCCAGGCTAAGGCCTCAGAGCACTGGGGGAGCTGCGCCTGGCAAGGCTGGCTCAGCTAAAGCAGAAATACCACAAGGCGATGTCTTTTAACATACAAGAAGGTATTCTCTCACAATTTCGGAAGCTATTGGTCTGATTCAGGGTACCAGGAAAAGGTTGTCTTGCTCTGTTGACTCCGAAGGTGGGTCCTGGTCTCCTTCCCACATTCATGGGCCCAGTGTTCCTTAGAGACCTCCAGAGGTACTGGTACCAGCCTTGGCCCTGGGTCTAGGAGGTGCACAGCGCAGGGACCCTGGGTCTGAAGGCTGCACCTGGCTCTTCTTTCTTGATGGCAGTACATTCTTTTGATCTCTGCTCACTTATTTCATTTCCGTCATTTCTCAAAGGAGATTGACTCAAGATACAATCTACTCTTAAAGATTATATCCGCCTCCTTAACATAATTGCCACTAATCCTGCCTCATGGGCCTCATACTCATCCACTGCCATTGAGTCAGTTCCAACCAACAGCAACCCGACATTACAGAATCAAGCTGACCCTTGGGTTTCCAAGGCGGCAATTCTTTATGGGAACAGAAAGCCTCATTTTTCTCCCTCGGAGCGGTGGGTAGGTTTGAACTGCTGGCCTTGGGGTTAGCAGCCCAATGGGTAACCTACTAAATCCCCGGGGCTCCTCATAGACATTATGACTTACAACACATGGGATAAAGACATCACATCACACACTGGAGGATAATGGCAGAGTAGCAAGAATCATGGCCTAGCCAAATCGACACACTTGTTTTTATGGTTGTTGTTAGATGCCATGGAGTCAGTTCTGACTCATAGCCCTGAACGTACAACAGAGCAAAACACTGCCGGGTCCTGCACCGGCCTCACAATTGTTCTTAGGTTTGAGCACATCGTTGCAGCCACCGTGTCTGTCCATCTCGCCAAGGGCCTTCCTCTTTCTCGCTGCCCCAGTTCAGTCCATGACAGGGACCGTGGGACATGTTAGGGCTGCGCAGAAGCTGTGCAATCCTGTGTTTTACCTAGGGCTAAGGGCCGGCCTCTCAGCCCCACCTGGGCAGGTGTGTCCTTGGGGATGTCCAGGGTTACAGGGATCCCATTCCCAGAGTGCTTATTAGGTGTGAGGCAGGGCACCAGAGGCTTGACAAATCTTGCCTCATTTCTTCCTCACACCTCTGTTGCTGGTAGTCAGGCTTGCTGCTTGTAGTCAGGGCCCTGAGTCAGTTCTGACTCAGTGCAGCCTTTTGTTCAACAGAACAAACCCCCGTCCAGTCCTGCGCTGTGCTCACGAGTGTTGGTTTGAACCCACGATTGCAGCCGCCTTGTCCGTCCATCTCACTGAGGCTCTTCTTCTTCCCTGACCCGCTCCACTCGCCCAGCATGGTCTCCATCTCCACGGAGTGGCCTCTCCAAATAACAGATGATTCAAATGCATCAATTCTTCGGCAGTCTTCCTGAGCCATCGTCCAATGTCACGTGTCTGTGGGGTGAAGGAAAATGCCCTGGCTTCAATCAGGCGCAACCTTCATCCTTAAAACGACATCTTTGCTCTTTAACCCTTGGCAGAGGACTTGGGGAGCACTTATGCAACTTGCAAAATGTCTTTTTGATCTCTTGACTGCTGCTTCCGTGACCCTTGATTGTAGGTCCAATCTTAATGTCAGGCTTTTCTGTTGACCATGAGGCTGTCTATTGGACCAATTGTGAGGACTTTGTTTTCTTGACATTGAGTAGTAATCTGTACTGAAGTCTGCAGTCTTTGATTTTTATCAGCAAGTGCTTCCAGTTCCCCTGGCTTTCAGCTAGCCAGGCTGCTAATAGGCCTTCCTTCAGTCCTGTATACCATCCAGTTTCTCAGATTATTTGCTCAGCATGCAGATTGATTAGGTACGGTCAAAGGATACAACCTCATGCACACCTTTCCTGGTTTTAAACCCTTGTTCTGCTATTTGAGCCCATTGTTGCAGCCACATCGACGGTCTCCCTCTTGTTGACTTCCACTTACCGCATGCTTGCTATCATTTGCTGAGTGCTCCTGCCCTCGCGCAAGATTTCCCCTTGTCCCCTATGCATGTGAAAGTGGGGCACTGTATAAGGAAAGCCAAAGAAGAATCGATGCATTTGAATGCTGGTGCTGGGCGAAGAATATTGAAAGTCCTGTGGACTGCCAGACGAACCACCAAGTCTGTCTTAGGAAAAGTACAGCCAGAGGGCTCCTTAGAGACAAGGACATCGGCTTACATACTTTGTACACATTGTCAGGAGAGGTGAGTCCTGGAGAAGGACATCATCCTTGATAAAGTAGAGGGGCAGCAACAACAAAGGAAGACCTTCGACAAGATGATTGCCACAGTGGCTGCATCAATGGGCACACACATCAGAACAATGGTAAGGGTGGCACAGGACCGGGCAGGGTTTCGTTCTTTTGTACGTAGGGTCACTCTGAGTCTGACTCAAAAGCACCTGACCACCAGCACCACCTCTCCCAGGTAGGAGACAGATGCATGCATCTAGTACCTTCTTTCATGTGTGAGGCCCTGGAGTCTAGCCACCTGCCCTTGGACACCCCGTCTGACTGGGCTGAGGTCAGCTGCATTGGGCAGCCAAGGCCCTCTCTCCCTCCTCCGTGGTCAGGAGGCATCCTGGGGATCGGCCAGTGGCTGTTCCCCAGCTTTCTCCACCTCCTCCAGCCCCTCCTCTCCCCACCAGCTCTCCATGGGAAGGAGGGGTGGGTCCACTTCCATCATCCTCAAACGGGGGCTGGCGCCTGATGCTATGAGCTACCCCTGGGAGACGAGAGTTGGGATGGCACTGGGACACTAACTGAGAGGTTGGAGATTTGAGGCTACCCAGGACAACTGCTTTTGAAAATCTTAAGTGTTGACTGTTTGATGGAGCAAGGCCCCATCTTGTCATTGGTGTCCCGGGCCTGCGTCCTAGTGGAGGCAGGACAGGAAGAACAGCCGCCAAAGCACAGCTAGGGTCAGCTCCCTTTGGCTGGGCAGTAACTTCTCGGGGGTCCCTTCCCTGCTCCCTCCCCAGGCCTGCCTTCGCTCCTGCTTCCAAGATCACATGATCCAAAACTGCAGCTGTGGCCACTACCTGTACCCGCTGCCCCGTGGAAAAAGATACTGCAACAATCACGACTTCCCGGACTGGGGTGAGTGCCGCTTGGACAAGCGTCACAGTCCCCCCCACACACACACACACACCCTGCACGCCAGCCCAGCCTTCCTCTTCCTCTCTACAGGAATGAGCTGCCCGCCTCACGGCAAGTCCACACAGTGTAGACTTGACCACGTATGAATCCTATTGGGTGAGGGTGGGGGTGGGGGTGGGGGACCCCGCACGCGTGTGCCTCCATTGACACAAGCCCATGGAAAAGGCAATCGACGTGCCGGAGACACTGGTGTGCAAGTGTGTGCGGCCTCGGGTGTGAACAGCAGCCCAGGGCCTCTAGTGTGCATGCAGGCTCACTGCCAACAGAAAGGTGGCTCCCAAGGCCTAAGCTGAAGCCCCAAGAGGAGGGGCCCAGAATGAAGTTCAAACGCTGGATGTTGCCGGGGACAAGGGGGACTGTCCACCTCCCCTGAAAGCCATAAAAAAGGAGGGGACCCTGGTTCCTTCTAGCCACCCATCTCTTTGCATGAGACCCCTGCGCAGAAGTGGGAAGGCTGGGTGGGGGATGCAGGCCAGCCCCGGGAGGCCCCAGGGACACGAGGCCTTGGAGTGAGGACCTCCTTGACTCAGGACCACCCACCTTAGGGCCCCAGGCCCTTGGGAAGCCCCTCAGAACACAGGTGAGCAGGAGAGCCTGCCACTGGCCTCTCCCAAATGCTCTGGGGGCCCTTTGATGCCCCCTCCACTCCTGCCCACTTCCTTTCTCCTGCCTAGCCTTCTGCTACTCGGCCCTGCGGATGAGCCTGAAGCAGAGGGAGACGTGCATCAGCCAGTGCAGCGAGTCCTGCAGGTGCGCGGGCACAGCAGGAGGGCGGGGAGAGGGCGGTGGTGGCACGGGAGCTACAGGGTGGCTTCTCTCTTCCAGTGACACCAAGTACAAGATGACCATCTCCATGGCTGAGTGGCCTTCTGAATCCTCAGAGGTGAGACAATGGCACAGGGCCCCAGAGGACTTGAGGAAGGTGAAGGGCCGGCCCCATCAGGGCCAAGACTGGGAGCGAGTGCTGGGGGTGCCGTGATTTTCCCAGCTGCCTTCTTGTTTTCCAGGACTGGATTTTCCACGTCTTGTCCCAGGAGCGGGACCAAAGTGCCAATATCACCATAAGCAGGTGAACCCCGAGTCTGGGAGGGACAGGGGAAACCAGAGGCCAGGAGCTGGCCAGAGGGCAGCTACCCAGAAACTTTCTCACGCTGATCTGAACCAAGCCTAGAGGTAGGCAGGGAGAGAGGGGCAGCCCAAGAGTGAAGGATCTTCATAAAGGAGAGCCTGCTTACCCATGGTGTCATCTCTACCTCCATCCCTCTGGCATCTACCCTTCCGTATCCTTTCCTGCCTCCGTCTGCCATCCTTCCACTCACTCATCCCTCCTTTATCCATCATTTCATTCATCCACCCTCCTATCTATCCACTCACTAACCCATCCATCCACCCACCAGTCCATCAGCTGCTCTTCCATCCTGGATCCAGTCATGCTTCTATCTCCTTCACTATCCTTCATCCATCCATCTACTCACTCACTCCCCCATCCGTCTCTTCATCCTTCCAGCACTCCTGTTATCGATCTTTGTCCATCCATTGATCCACTCATGTCTCCACCCTCTACACCTATCCTTCCACTTATTCATCCCTCCTTCCATTCATCCTCTACCCGTTAGCATCCATCCCACTTTTCTTCCTTCCCATCTCTCCATCCATTCAAATGAAGGCATGCGGCCCATACCATCAGAAAGCTAGTGCGCAGAAAGGGTAGAGATGTGCAAACAGTTGATGATGGTCTGTATCTGATGAAAGTCCTCCTTTACAGAGCCCCCCTCTCCCCGAGAGGTAAGGTGGTCTGTATAGGAAGATGGCACTTGAGCTGCCTCTCCAAGGGGAAGTAGGAGCTTATCAGACAAATAGGACTTTCGAACATGTCCAAGAAGATAGCTTAGGCAGAGGCCTGGAGTCATAAGCCATCGCAGCCTTTCTGGGGACCATCAGGTGTGATGGAAGAGTCCCACTTGGCCACCCGTCCCCTCCTCATGTTAAAGGTGCGAGGCTTGGGAGTCTGTGCACATGGGGAAGGAGAGGGGAGCTCAGAGCTGACCCTTGGAGCTGTGTCAGACCGGGCTAGCTGTGCAGTACAGATCAGCATGAATCCCATCCCCGAATGTGGAGACTGATCCAGTCCTCACACACCCACTCCCCCCCCCACCCCGACCCCCATCGGCAGCTGCCCCCATGGAACTCTGGCCCTCAGCCTCTAGCTGCCCAGAGCTACCCCAGTGCTCACAAGAGCAGCTGCACACAATGCCCCAAAGTGCTGGCCTGCTGGCCCCAAATTTGGAGCTGGTACCTGAGGCTGCCGGCCCAAAGCTCCGAGATCCAAAGGACACTTCTTACTTTCTGACCTGCCTGCTGGCTCCCAGCAGCCCCTGGGCTTCAGGTGTCACCAGAATTCAGTTTCCCATATAAAGATGCAACAGCGAGGTGCACAGGGCTCGGTGGGGGAGGGCCCTAGCACAGAGCTTTCGTGTCCCCATGGGCACGCCGCCCTCCCAAGAGTGATGCTCTTGCCCACAGGAACCTCTGTGACGAGGGCTCTTCCAATCCATCCTACACGAAGAGTCTAAACCAGCTCGCTTAAGGCCAGTGGCCCTCAGCCTCTCATATGTAGGTTTTCAGGTCTGGTCAGCCCCCACTCTCACCAACACAAATTGATCAGGTGTAACCAAGGGGTCCTTGACCAAGGCCCCCCTACCCCAGTTACATCAAGGGTTCTTTGCCCAGCACAAGGACAAAGACCCCCGGCATAGGGCCAAAATGGCATGTGTGCCCCACTGTAGCCTTCAGAAAACTGATCAAGCTGAGGTTGCCAAAGGAGGAGTCCCATCAGGTGAGAGCCAGGCCACGATGCTTTGGGGGCCCCAAGACTAAGGGGCGGAGGACAGTCCTGTAGGGTCTTGGCTTGGACATCGCCACTCGTGGGAGTGCGCAGTGCACACGTGAGCAGGTCAGGTCAGAGGAGGGTTGGGGAGGCCCCAGGGCCCTCCCTGGGTGTGTCTCAGAGAAGGAGCCAGTCCCAACCCATCTCGCTAACTCCTGTAGGAAGGGAATTGTCAAGCTCAACATCTACTTCCAAGAATTCAACTATCGTACCATCGAAGAGTCTCCAGCCACCAATGTGAGTGGAGCCAGCCCTGCCCCCTCTGTACCCCAAGATGGGGAGGTCCTGAGTCCCTCTGGGGGAGGGGCAGGCTGGGGTGGTCCCTTGCAAGACCAAATTAAATCACTGGCTGAGTTGGTTACCCCGTTTTATCCCCCACACCCACCAACCAACCTCCCCAGACCCTCGGCTGGGTGCCCGGCCCGGGTTTGTGCCTCAGCCTCCCTCCCTCACAGGTTGTCTGGCTGCTCTCCAACCTGGGTGGCCAGTTTGGCTTCTGGATGGGGGGCTCAGTGCTGTGCCTCATCGAGTTTGGTGAGATCATCATCGACTTCCTGTGGATCACCGTCATCAAGCTGGTGGCCTTCGCCAGGAGCCTGCGGCAGAGGCAGGCCGGGGCGCGCTACGCAGGGCCGCCGCCCACCGTGGCCGAGCTGGTGGGGGCCCATACCAACTTCAGCTTCCAGCCCGATGTGGACGACCGTGGGTCTGACACGGGGGGCTATGCCGATGGGCAAACCATGCCCATCCCGGGCACCCCGCCCCCCAACTACGACTCTCTGCGCCTGCAGCCGCTGGACATCATTGAGTCTGACAGTGAGGGCGATGCCATCTAGGGCCAGCCCTGCCCACCCTGGGAGGCACCAGGCCTTGGTCCTGAGAAGCCAAGGGGCCCTGCCCATTTTTACGGTGCCTTCTCACAGGGCAGGGCTGAAGCGGCACACACCCGGAGCCTTGGTCCTGTGCTCACCTACCCAAGAGCCAGGGCCCCATGGCTCACGGAGGGGGCACTGCATTCTCACCCGCCCCAGCTGGGCTCCGGAGACCCTCGAACTCCCTGCTGGAAAGACAGGCCACTTGCAGCGCCCATCACCATCTGCCTGAGGGACAGAGGCAGGTGGGCCCACCTACTCTCTGTGCCTTCCTGGCCTTGGCTGGCCTCTGGGAACAGGTTCAGGGAGGGTGAGGGGCACAGGGCCCCTCTAGCTGGCACACATTCTGCTTGAGACAATAAAAGTGGGAGCCCAGGAGTGGGTGTCTACCTCTGTTCTTTGGTGGGTGGGGCAGCCGGAGGGCCGGGCTCAGGGCTGGGGACCACACCCACACCGGCCAAGGGAGGGGCAGCGCAGGCCAGGGCAGCTTTCTGTGGCGTTTTTTGCTATTCCCATCAAGTCATCCCTGACGCCCAGTGCCACCTAGCCCCTTGGGAGGGAGGGAAGGAGAGAGAGAGAGGGAAAGAATAGCCAAAGGGAAACCTCAGTCACAGTTTATCAGAAATTCAGACAGACTTGAGGAGGCAGCTGGTGTACAGGGGGGCTGCAGGAAGCGCCTGGAGAACACCCGACATCTTTTCATTACGTACACGTTCCCCCAAACCTTCTGAAGCCCCTGCAACTCCAGAGTCAAGTCCCTTCAGCTCAGCAACACCGGCTGTCACAGGCAATTCCTGGACCAGTCCTCCTGGGTCACGGAGCCTCTGCCCAGAGTCCACGGGCCCCTTCCTGCAGCCAGGCTACTCTCACCCCCACCCCCACCCCACCCCCAGCCCCCTGCCCCACAGCAGGACCACTTGGAGAGAGGGTGGCTCTTTGGCTTGCCAGGTTGGCTAGATGTCCCTGTAAAATCCGGGGCATGTTAGCTACCAAGCTGGCCCCTGGCTAACGGCAACCTTGCATGTTACAAGGTGGAACTTCGAAAGTTTTCTTGGGTGTAATCTTTCTAGAAAGCAGGTCACCAGGCCCTTTTCTGCAGAATCGCAGAGTGGGTTTGAACCGCCAATTGCTGTCTGTGCCGCCTGAGCCCCTCAGCTGGGACATAATAAACCGCAAAGGCACTGTCGGTCTGAAAGTTGCATTTAACAGGGCAAGCTCTTTGTACTTGAGGAAGCCAGGAACCCCACGGGGCACTTCTACTCAGTTCGTCGGGGTTGCTATGCTGAGTTCTAACAGAGTCCGTGGCCACAGCATAGTTCCCCAAGGAGCCATCAGAGAACTGCTGCTAAAGAGCCAACGGGTACAGGCACCTCATCCCTGCAGGGCCCTGCTAAGGCCTGTCAGTGCCCTCGCCCCATCCCGCCACTGTCTCTCAGGCTCTAGCTTCCCCCCTGCTGTAGGTCTAGTACACTGGTCTGAATATTGGTCTAGAACAGTGGTTCTCAACCTGTGGGTCACGACTCCTTTGGGGGTCGAATGACCCTTTCACAGGGGTCGCCCGCATCATAACAGTAGCAAAATTATAGCTATGAATTAGCAACGAAAATAATTGTATGGTTGGGGATGGTGGTCACAACATGAGGCACTGTACTAAAGGGTCGCGCCATTAGGAAGGTTGAGAACCACTGGTCTAGAACATCTGACCTCTCCTAAAACGCCCATGGAAGGAGCAGCTGCACAATGGGCTAAGTGAGCAAGGTCCAGGGGAAGCTGGGTTCCCAGCCTCCTCCAGCCACGTGGGCTCCTGCCCGGCTCTGGGCCCCTGGCCAGAGTCACAATTCCTGGTAGCTGCCACACAGACTCCTACGACTCCTTATCATTAAACCTGTGAACACCATAACCTGTGTGAGGCAGCAGTCTGTCAGGGAAGGCAGACTCAGATAGTTTCCAGAAAGCAGTAAAAGAAAAGTGGTCGGACTGCACCCGGTCAATGTGGAAAATGTGCGTGACCCAGAAAAATGAGGCAGGCCCGGCGAGTTCTGGCTCACTGCATTATCATCCGTTACACAATGACCATGTTCATCAGTCACTGAGCACATCCGAGGTACCATGCCAAGCACTTAAAAAAGAAAATGGCCCCATTTGACAGCTCAGTAATTCGAGGATCAGTGACATTTAGTACAGTCCCCGAGTGGCAGAACTGGGATTCAAACCTAGACCTCAGCCACTTGGTGCCAATGGTCATAACACTATCAATCCCTCTGAAGCCCAGAGCATTCCTATGTAGTGTCTAAGCTATAGAGTAAGCAGAACAATACTTGTCATTATCTAGCTTCTCTTGCCAGATCTTTTAGTCCTGAGTCCATTTAAACTGGGTTAAATCGGAGCGGAAACTCACGGTCTCTTGAGTAAAAGTGCAGGGCTTTCAGGCAGCTAGTTCTGGTGCTTGGCCCTATCTTCTCGGAGCTAATGTCCTTCTCAGATGAGTTCCCTCTGCTCTTCCCCACTAGAATTCCCGGCTCCGTGCCCACAGCTCAGCAAACCCAGAGGCACGCAGTTTCCTTCTTCGTGGCGTCTCTGGGTCGCTTGGACCAGCCTGCAGCACCCATGTCTGTGATGGGAACGGGGGAGGCTGCCTGGCCTGCCCGGGGTGTGTATATGGAGGGTTGTCCTTCACTGCCCCAGGAGAGGTTCTGTTCAGAGGTGTTTTGAAGCAGGGGCGGCATTTTGAAGGAGTGAGAAGGGTGGTCCTGGCCCAGAGCTGCCTGAAGACAGACCAGGACCAGCCTGCCACCCTCTGTCGGAGGGTTAGGGGTCAGGGCTCCCCTCAGGAGTAGATGACGCTAGGCCAGATCACCCTGGTCCTGTACTTCATCCCAGGAAAAAGCAACAGCCAGACCAGGAAATTGTGTGGCCTCCAGTCTTTTTAACGTTAATGGGAAAAGGAACTGGGCACCCTCTGCCCCTGCCCTCCTCCCTTTTTGGCTCTTGCCTGCTGTTTTTCCAAAGCCCTAGGAACCGGGTAATGCCCCATCTTTAATGGCAACCCAGGCTCACCCAGCAGAAGACTCATCAAAATGATTTTTTTTTAAAACCAAAACTCTTTGCTGTCGATTCTGATGTATGTCAAGTGTTTCAGGGTTGAACTGCTCTGTAGGGTTTTCTTGGCCTTCATTTTTTATAAAAGCAGATCACCAGGCCTTTCTTCCACCCTGCTGCTGGATGGGTTCAAACCGCCAACCTCCAATTAACAGTTGAACACAACCACTTGTGCCACCAAGACAAGCAGGCAAGCCCATTGCCGTCAATTCCAACCCTTGGTGCTCCTACGCGTTATGAAGCAGAACAGCTCCACAGGTTCTCTTGGCTGTTCTCTCTAAGGAACCAAACCGCCAAGCCTTTCTTCCGCAGCACAGCTAGATCGGGTCAAGTTGCCAAACTGCGGGTTAGTTGAGCGCAAACCCCTTCCATCACCTGAAGCCAGGAGCGCTCGAGTCGACTCCAACTCATGGAGGCCCCAGAGGTTGGCAGAGCTTCTTCCCCTCTTGGTGCCTCCTCCCATGTACCAGTGCAGCCTCTGTTCTCCAGGCCGGGGGCCCTGAGACTACCAAACTTTGTCCGTAAGTACCTGGATGCCCGTGCTTCTCAAAAGGTGGTCCCCTGAACACCAGTACCATGATGACCTGGGCCCACCTTTCAGAAATGCGAACTCATGGACCTCACCCCAGACCTGGTTAAGAAACCGGAGTGAGGCTCAGTAATGCGGTTTCAAAAAGCCCTCCAGGAAGTTCTGATGCTACTCAAGTGTGAGGAACAATGTCCCTATAGGTGGCCCGAGCCCATACCTGGAGGACAGAGGCCTGCTGGCCCTCAGGAGGGCCCAGGACAGTGGGAGCAGCAATGACCAGCAGAATGAGCCTCACCACTATGTGCCAAGGAGAAAAGGCCAGAAGGTGCTCTGGGAGATCAGCCAGCGAAGCCTCAGAGAGATAAAGCAGAACCCAAAAGAGCGCCAGCACTCACGAGCAGGATACCGAGAAAGATGGCTTCCCCGCAATGGCAGAACTGAATTTAAATCTCCCAGAATCCAGGCCTCGAGAACCTGGAGGTTTGATGAACCTCCCAAAACTATTGGTTGGTTATCTTTAAACCTTAAACCAAAAATATCCCCTGGCGTTTTCTCAAAACCAAACCATGCTATTGCTGTTTCTGCCGGGGGCTGTCGAGTCGGGTCTGAGCCATCGCAACCCCGTGGTTAACAGAAGGAAAGCTGTTCTCATGTTTGCGCCCACTCTTGCAGCCGCACTGTCAGTTCATTTCATCTCAGGTCTGAAATCTTCCTCTTTCTTGCTGCCCCTCTATTTTACCAAGCATGATGTCCTTTTCCAGGGACTGGTCTCTCCCGATAACTTGTCCAAAGTTCATAAGATGAAGTCTCACTATCCTTGCTTCTAAGGAGCATTTTGGCTGTACTTCTTCCAAGACAGATTGTTCTTTTGGCAGCTGATTGTACTTTCAATAGTCGTTTCCAGCACTATAATTAAAATGCATCTATTCTTCGGTCTTCCTTATTCCGTGTCCAACTTTCACATGCATACGAGGCAACAGAAAACACCATGGGTTGGGTCAGGCACACCTTAGTCTTCGAAGTAACACCCTTGCTCTTCAGCACTTTAAAGAGGTCTTGTGTAGCAGATGTACCCAATGCAATGTGCCGTTCGATCTCCACGGCTGCTTCCATGAGCACTGACTGCAGATTCAAGCAAGACGAAATCCTTGACAATTTCATCATCTTGCCCACTGAACCAGTTGTGAGGATTTGGGTTTTCTTTACATTGTTAGAAACAAAGAGAAGGAAGAGTAGTTGGAAAATATGGCTTTGGTGGTAGAAATGAAGCTGGAGATTGCATTATAGAATTGTGTACCACCAAAGACTTGTTCCTCACAAAGCCCTTTTCCCAATAGCACAAAAACTGACTACACACATGGACTTCTCTAGATGGAATACATGGAACACACAGAAATCAAACTGACGACCTATGTGGGAAGAAAGGATGGCGATGTTGTGCCTAAGGAAACTATAAAACCAGGGTATTGCTGAGAGAATTTGTCTGCAGCCATCCACTGACAGAGACATGCTTAAACATGTCCTATCTGGAATAAACCAAGCACGTATGAACTGGAACACGAGTAGCAATACAGTTTCATTTTTCTATGTTTTGCTGTACATAGCCTCAACAACAAAATTAATTTTTAAAAAGCTTAAAAAGATAATTTCCCCTGAAATTGCCCAGAAAAGGGCATGCTTTAATTTCCACCTGCACCCAAAAGTGAAGGTGGCAGACAAGAGGCCAGAAGACTGTGAAATTTACATGGATTGTGTGCTTACCACGTGGCTCCTGCTGTATCTCGATGAATCTTCATATAACCCCAGGAGGGAGGATCCGAAAGAGGCTCGGGGTGTGTGTGTGTGTGTGTGTGTGTGTGTGTGTGATACAGTCTCTCCGAAAGAGGCTCCGGGGTGTGTGTGTGTGTGTGTGTGTGTGTGTGACTTTTTCAAAGTCACTCCGTTAAGAGGTGGCCAAGCCAGGAGTCAAGGCCATGCTGGACGCCCTCTTGCTGGCTCCTAGGCACGGACACAGGTCGTGACAGTGAGCGCTCCACTGCAGAGCGAACATCCCTTTGTAGATGCCCAGCTCCCCCTCCTTGAAGGCAGAAGCCAAGTGGATGGTCTGTGACCCGGGCTCCCGGACTAGAGAACAGGGTCTGAGAGAGCCCTTCATACACCAGACCAGTGGACACAGGCTGGACCACCTGGAGGTGCTGGTTCTGGAGAGGACGGGGTTGGCAAGAGCAGGCTGACACTTGGGATTATGTGTCCCCACTGTGTGTCTTTTGTGTCCATCCCAGGAAGATCGGTGGACAGCCAGGAACAGCTCCTGTCCCAGGCTCTGCTCTGATCCTGCCCCTCACGGGATCATTGAGTAACTCTAGCAAGCCCCTTCTAAAAAAAAAAAAACATCATTGTGATCGAGTTGATTTTGACTGATAGCAACCCTAAAGGACAGGCTAGAACTGCCACCCTGTTGGTTTCTGAGACTGTGAACTCTTTACAAGAGTAGAGAGCCCCATCTTCCTCCTGAGAAACAGCTGGTGGTTTCCAACTGCCGACTTTAACGTAACCACTGTGTCACCACCACTGTTAGCAAGTCCCTTGGACCTCTTTACATCTCAGGTCCTTGGTTCATAGCACGGGGATTCCCTCCCGTTTCCCAAGGCTGCCATGAGCCACCTTTTGAGAAGGGGCCGCGAGGGAGTGCTCAACCTCAGCCAGGGCTCTGGGGGCAGACGCTGGGCCTCCAGGGAGGCGCACCCAGGTGAGCACTTGGCTGCTAGTCAAACAGTGAGGTGTGTGCATCAACGAGAGCCCCTCTACCTCGGAGACATCAGTCATTGAAAACCCCTTGGCTCACGGTTCTACTCCACCAGCACTGGTTGACCATGAGTCAAAGTCAACATGACAGCAACTTTTTTTGCCTCAGTGGTAGATCTGTTGCCACAGTCCCTTTCCTCCTTGCTAACAGAGCCCCCACTGTGTCCCGGGCCGTCATGAAGCCCAGGCACCCAAGGGAGAGGGTCTAACCCAGTGTTTCACTGCAGGACGGGGTTTGGCCTGAGGCCACATCTGGAGCCAATCTTGATCGTCTTTTAGGGGTTCTTGTGACTGGGGCTGGGGGTGGTCCCAACAAAGAACTGCTCCCACAATTCAGCCCAGGAGCCCATCTCGACAGTGGGGTCCTCCACATTCCCAGGCTCCCTTGCAGGCAGGATGATGAGGGTGAGCCAGAAATCTCCAGGATAGAGGTAGTTGGGAGTTCTGGAAAGGGCTTTGCGTTCCTGAGAGACAACGTGGCTTCCAGCTCGAGGGAAAGGCTGAGATCACAGAGGTCAGCCCTGACTGTCACACCACCGAGTGAGTGTCCGTCATTGGACTTGTTCGTGACAAAACTTCACTACTGTTTGCGTATGCTGGCTTCTGCCGGTCTGTTCCTTACACAATGCCAACAGGTGCGGAGGTTATGAATAAGAAGTACATGACGCTTATGTCATCTCATGAATTTTAAAACTGAGAAATTCATAGTCCATATGAATAATCTCATGAATTTTAAAACTGAGAAATTCATAGTCCAAGTCCTCAGGGTGGCCTGCGAACAAGACCCTACACGTTCAGGGCCCTGAACTCCAGCGCCCCCATTGATCTTGAACACAGCTCAGGGCCTGGCCACGCTGCTCCCTCAGCTGAGTGCCCCTCTCCCCTCCTCCCTTGCCTGTGGTCTCCTGTCTCCCACCTGCTAGGCCCACAGAGCCTCGTCATCCCACCCAGCACTCCCTGCCGGCCCTTTCCCAGTCTTTCCATCTGAAAGGATTGCTCCATCCACTGACTGTAGTCCCCAGACCAGCCCCTCAGATACACTCCGTGAAAGAAAGAAGAAACCGGCCCTCCTCAGTCTGTTTATTGATTAATTCCACTCTCAAGGTCAAATCACTTCAAAAATCACCCGAAAATCCCTCTCTAATAAATAGCATACTTGTCATTTACTCCCTTTTTAGATTATGCAAATCACCCAGTCTTAAAAACCAGTCTGGCCAATCCTTGGCTGATTTTACAAGTGAATCCATGCTAGAGAGTGTAGCCCCAGAATCCCCACTCCGACCCATTGGAGCAGTGGGTTCAGTAAGTCACACCACGCATGGCGGCTACCGTGGTGGCGAGGCGGCGGGGGAGGCTTTGGGTAGCCTGTCTATAGCCCTCAGGCTTGGCCTTCAGGAGCGTCAGGATGTTCTGTAGAGTGCGAGATGGCTGCAGGCCCAGGGCGTCCATCACATTGGTCAGATAGTCTGCAGGTGCAGAAAGGAAGCCTGGTTCAGCACTGAGCAGGATGGAGTCCCCAAGGGCCGCCTCTAGTCACAAATGCAGAAGCCCCTGGGACCCTAGCACTGGGCACCTGCTCTGCCCTTATTGGGTATGCCTTGACTGAGGACTGTAAGCTTGGCCTGCATCCAGTAAGTCCAATTTAATACAGAACAAATCACTATCACCCCTCACACACAGTCAGACACACTCATGAGCACACACATACATGCATGCAGATACAGCACACACACTCACTTATACACACAAGTGCATAAACATACACATTCGCACATATTCCATGCAGGCAGACACATAGGCAGGCACGTACACACTCGTATGCAGAGGGGCACGAATACACATACCCACAAATGCCTGTGCACACAAACATACTCGCTTTGAGTCAACTCTGACTCAGGGGGAAGGGCACGCTCCATCAGAGGCCCTGTCTGCTTCACACGCTGGCTTACTCATCACACTGTGAGCGCCACTAGCCTACTGGGCCAAATCCCAAGCCCAAACCCACTGCCCTCAAATCAGTTTCAACTCTTAGCACCTAGAGAGGGTGGAGTAAACAAGTTCCTTAGCATTTCCCACACTGTCCATCTTCACAGGAGCAGAAAGCCTCACCCTGCTCTTGGAGTAGCTGGACAGTTTGAACCTCAGACCGTGTGGTTAGCAGCCTGATGCTTTAACCCAAGGCACCATCTGGGCTTCTGGATTGCCAAGAGCTGCAAGCTGAGAGCCTGTGTCTACCAGAGTATCCAACAGAGTGTGGGTTTTGTTTTCTGGTGGTGCCTAATGTGAAGGTTTGTGCGTCCACAGGCCTCCCCTGCTCTGGGGTCTGACCCCCTCCTGCTGGCAGCTTCACATACTAGCCTCAAGTCCTCCCTGGGTAAGCTCGCTGCGGAACCTCTGCTGGCTCCTGGCTCCCAGGTTCCACCAGATGTCTGGGCTTTAACCTAGACATACCATCTAAACCTCGGGGTATAGGCCCTGGAAAACCTGTCCTTTTAACCAGCTTCCAGAAATGAAGTTAGGAGGAGAACTGGGGACAGACAGCTGGGCAGGGTAAGGGGTGCCCTCCTGAGGGGACCTACCAATGTCAGTGGCCAGCTGCTTGGTGGAATGGGGGGTCAGCTCCGGTATCTGGAGGATCACATCGCAGTAGGTCTGCATCGTGGCTCTGGCGATGGCGCCTAGCCAGTTGTCAGCCATGTTGTCAAGCTCCGGCGGTTCATCGCCTGCCAAGGGAAAGGAGACAGTCATCAGAGATACGAGAGTCTGCTCAGGAAAAGACCCCCAACCCCTCAGTCTGGCTACACACCCGGGCGACCCAGCCCGTGACAGGTGCTGCTTGCATGAACATGCCCAGGAGACACAACCAACTGGAAGAATCCAACCTTAGATCCAAGTACCACAAGGAGGCAAAAGGTAAGGCTGAGATGTCCCTCGAGGCTGCGAGTTAAGTCTAGTCATGTGGGCCGGTGGGTTTCTGTGGACAGACAGTGCAAGGGAAGGCAGGGGAGATGGGGGTGGAGGAAGGCTGCACACACTCCAAGTTAGAAAGTGGGATGGTGGACACAGGGAGAGGACAAGAGGCGGAACAGCGAACAGCACTACCACTTGTCAGGCTCATGCTGTGTGCGCACCTGCGGCACCGTGGAGGTGACAACAGCCCGTCTTTGGCAGGGGTGCAGTGGAAGCTGGGCCCTGCGTCGGCCTAGGCCTGACACCCACACAGTGCTCCATGCATGGCAGCTAGGAGGGCTGTCTTCATTATGGGGGGAGGACAGCAAGGGGCAGTGGGGAATAAAACCCGGGCTCATGAGAATCATGTGGCTGCCACGGGGCAAGAGGCAAGAAGCAAATGTAGGTTCTCAGTAAGGCTGTGACACCTTAGCCATGCTGGGGAGCCAATCAGACTGTTGGGGGAGGCGGGGAGACGGGGAATGGAGGGCACGTGAGTGGAGATATGGAAAGAAGAAAAAACGATAGGGTTTTTATTACAAAGCAAGGAAAAAGAACACACTTCAGAAAGATGAGCAACTTTTTTTAACCCTTTTTTTGCACAAATGATGCCCATGTGATACTTTTGCCAACTGTGTGCCCCCACCACCACCACTCCCCTCGGGTTATTTTTGCAAGGACACTAAGCTGATTTTTTTCGGTGAAATGTACACAATTAGCACAGCACACTAGAGCTGACGACAGGAAGTAGAATGCATTATCGCTGAAAAAGACACACAGCAGCACACAGGCTAAAATGGGACCACAGGGAAGACCACAGGAGCCCTGCCCACAGATGCCACGCACATCTGTGAAGTGGTCCATTAGTGTTTCATCTGTTTAGTTACCCGGTTTTTGAAATTCCGGAAACAAAGTATTTTATAGTGAAATTAAAAAGAGAGAGAAACAGCTCTGGCTGCTGCTGAAGAGGACGATGGCTGGAGGCCCGGTGACCCACGTGGCAGCGAGCCCAAGCAGAGCTGGGAGACAGCAGCACTGAGTGCGTCGTGTGGCGGGAACCCGTGACGGCTTCTCGCGTTCGGTGGTCACCGTTTCATCACTGGCTCTGCGTCAAGTACCAACTCCCCACACAGCTCTCCCAGCTCACGGCCAGCTCAGATGGGGAGCAAGAGGATGAGGGCAGTGATCTAGCTCCTTCTGGGCCTGAGGGCTGCCAGCTGAGCACTGCACAGACGCACTCTCCAGTCAGGGGGGAGGAGGCAAGGCAAGCCCATGCCAGAGCCAATGCCCTTGTCCGCCCTACCCCACCCCCTACACCCCTCACACGGCCCCGTACACCCACCTAGGCTGCTAAAGAAGGGCAGAAACACTGAGGCTGTTTGTTTGCCACCCACACTGCAAAGGACTCGCCCGGCCCAGAGCACCTCACTGCCATCGAGTTGATTCCGACTCATAGCAACCCTATAGCGCAGGGTAGAACTGCCCCTGTGAGCTTCTAGGACTAATTCTCTACAGGAGGGGAAAGCCTGGCCATTCTCCTGCAGAACAGCTGGTGGTTTTGAACCTCACAGACTGCAAGTCAACACGTAACCACTACACCAGGGCTCCCATAGCACAGGGCACGGAAGGCTCGTAATGGTCCCTGGACAGACCCAGCACACAGGAGGGGCTCCCGTTGATGAAAAGGTACACGGCACATGTGGACCGAGTGCTGGTTGTATGGACTCTGTCTGATTTCTTTTGCTCAGTGATCTGAGACTCATCGATGTCAATGTGTAGAGCCGTGAGGTTTGTCCGCGTTCACTGCCAGTACAACACACCATTTCACTGCACACTACACCATGACATCCATATCCATCTGACTGGCGATGGTCATCTGGGGTGCTTCCAGACAGAGCTCTTACCAACCAAGTCACTATGGCCATCCTGAGAGATCTCCATGGGGGCACACAGGCAGAGTTCCTAGAATTCATGAAGGGGCTTCATAAAGCTTGTAGGAAAATGGAATTAAAAGTTAATGGGATTTTTCCACAATTTTTTAAAGCCCAATCTATATCTAGGGGTAAAACTGCTGAGCCAAAGGGTAGACGCGTTGTCAATTTCACTAGATAATGCCACACTGCTTTTCCAAAGTGGACACATCAATTTACAGTTGTAGAAACAAAAATCACAGTGGTAGGGGATGGATCTCTAGGCTTTTCCGTTTATATTGGCACACACAGCAGTCTCTTCAAGGGAATCACACTGTACACATGATTGTATAACCTGCTCGTCACACTTAATATGATGAGGATCTCTTCACAAGTCATTACATGTTCTTCTCAAGTAGCTTTTCAAATAGCCATATAGCATTTCATTATATGAATGGACCCAGATTTTTCTAACCACCCACAACTGTTTGACACTTATATTTCTTTCTAATGTTTTCTTCTGTAAACAACGTTGGGAGCACACTCAGACAGTTACGTTCGTGATTCTTTTACTAGGAGAATCTTCTAGCAGTAGAACTCCTCCTTGAAAAGGCTTGCATGGCCTCATGGCAAACAGTCTTCCAGAAAAGCAAATGCTAACATTTAAGCTGTTTTCCTCCATGGTTGCCAATAGTAAGTACAATCACACTGAGAGATTCACATCCACACACACAGTTAATCTGGTAAAAGACGGCCAAGTGCGTCTTTTCATTCGTAGCCTTATCAGAACTGTGTCCCACAGAGCAGAAGTTCCTCAGAGGGTGTGATTTTGAACATGGGCCTCAGCCTTTCGTCTAAACCAAACTCCCTGCCACTGAGTTGATGCCCACTCAGAGCGACCCCACAGGCAGAGCAGAATGCTCCTGTGGGTTCTGAGATGATAACTCTTTACGGGCGGCGTAAAGCCTTGGCTTTCTCCCAAGCAGCAGCAGGAAGTTTTAAATTGCTGACCATGTGGTCAGCAGCTGTGGACCCACCAGGCCACCAGGGCTCGATCAGCCTTTCTCGGGGCCTATTTCTCAGGAACTGTGACTTCCCTGGGAGTCTGGAGCCATGTGCGTGTTGAGCTGTGAGTGTGTGGGAGATGAGCTGACGCGGCACACCTTACCTTGCTCAGGAGGAAACGGGAGCTTTCCGGCATGCAGAGCCAACTCCAAGGCAGAGTCCTCCTGAGTCACGAATGGCTCCAGGTTCAGAGGAAGGGACATGAGGTACTGCCCGATCTGAAGCACAAGAAGGATTTTCAGCTGAACACTATGCACATGGGCAGTTGCTTTGTGCAGCTCTTGGCAAATAGCCAAGAGACACCATTGCTAGACCTCAGGGAACCTCAAATCTGATTTCTCCATCTTTCGAGTGTATCCTAAACCTGGTCATGACAACAGATTGCATCTAGACTCGAGATTTGTCCTTTTCATTACCAGCCTCAATATTTTCGGAATGTACTCAACACATTCTCGACCTTATAGGATGTAACGAATAAGTGCTTTATAAAAGGTACCCCCCAAAACCCAAACTCACTGCCACTGAATCAAGTCTGACTCATTGCGACCCTATAGGGCAGCCCCAGTGGGTTTCCGAGATGGTTAACTATTTAAGGGAGTAGAAAGCCTCATCTTTCTCCTGCAGAGACGCTGGTGGTTCCAAACTGACGACCTTGTGGTTAGCAGTCCAATGTGTAACCACCATACTGCTGGGGCCCCCCACAAAACATACAGGACTGTATAAATGCAAATCATCCAGGGCAATGAAGTGCCAATGGCACCTTCGGCCGGCCACTCTAGAATTCCAACCCCATCTTCCAAGGCCGGATCTGGTTCTCTCTTCGTCTAGGTGATGTTACCAGGGGAAGGATGGGGTTTTATCTGAAAAGGTTATTTGAAATTACAAAGTAACTTGGGAGGAAACCATGTTGTTTTCATGAGATAAGCTCTGGAAGATAAAGGCTGACAAGACCTTCTTGGCTGGCGGGGAATCACCGGCAGTAGAACTAGAATGAGACTTAATGTTAGCCACATATTTGTCAGTTACTTGTGATTCCATCATGGGGATGTTTTATATACCCATTCTTATTACGACTCATGATTGTTTGGTGCTTTAAGGAAGCACATGCTTCCATTTTAAAGAAGGCTTGACTTTCAGGCCATCAGACATCCCATCTAATATTGAGAAAGTTAGTCTTTGAGTACGACACACAGTCCACTCCATTTATCCCAAATTAGATGTGATACAGATTGGAAGGCAGAGAACGATCCAAATAAGATCTTCTCAACCTGGCCTAGGCGCCAGAAACTGGTGGCAGAGGTTGGACCCAGACCTTTTTCACTGTGATCAAGCCGGCTCTGACTCGTGGTAACTCTTCGCACAAAAGAACAAAGGCATTGCTCTGTCTGGTGCTACCTTCACAAGCACTGCTAGGCTGCAGCTCGCTGTCATGGCCTTCTGATCGAGGGGGCGCATCATCTAGCATCATAGCAGGCAATAGTCTCCTGAGCTCCATTCTTCCTAGTCTGTCTGAATCTAGAAGGCCCAATGAAACCCGTCATCTGTGAGTGAACTTGCTGGTATATGAAATACTGTTGGCACAGCTTCTAGCATCACAGCAACATGCACGTCCCCGCAGCATGACAAAGTGATAGACAAACAGACACAGGGGTCCGTCAAAAAGAACAAAGGTTTCACCTCTGGGACTCAGGCATGACCAGATGCTCTGAGAAACTCCCCAGCCACAACCGCAGCAGCCACCACAGCGAGATGCCATGATGCTGCCTTGCCCCCTTCTCGGGAGCCGAGGATGGTGACACTCTCCCAAAGACTTTGCACTCCGACACTAAAGGACAGGGTGCAGTTCTGACTACAGATGCTGCGCAGGGGTGCCATGTATTCCTCTGACTCGAGCCCAAATCCTATTAACCATCTTTTCATGAAGGACATCCGTCCCTCTCTGTGATTCTGCGCTGCACCTCAGGCTGGATTCAGGGCTCCCTGGGGGCGGGCTCTCTGGGTAGCTGGGGCACACATCCTCTCAGAGGGAACTGCCTCAGCTCTAATGGTCCCTCACAAAGCAGCTGCCTTGCACGCACAGAGGCTGGGGGCCCAAAGACTCGGAGTAAAGGAGTGGAGCTTGGACAAGTGGACATGTGTGCCGAGCACATGCGTGCAATGCTAGGCCCCGGTCCATCAACTTGAGATGGGTGTGAGCAACTGAGCAGAAAACAGCATGTCAGGTGCATGCAATTTTCCCATGTTACAAAGACCAGGATGCCTACCAACATGTGCTGTTCCTATCAAGGGCCGTCCATGTGCACAATTGCATTAACTTAGGACAAGAAAACAACCTTAGTGGCACAATAGTCAATCGCTCAGCTACCAAGCAAAAGATGAGTGGTTCGAACCCGCCCTCCGCAGGAGATGGAGGAGCCTGTCTCTGTTACACGGGGAGTTCCTATTCTGCCCAATAGGGCTTCTATGCGTCAGAATTGACTCCACAGCAGTGGGGTTTGAGGGTTTTGTGGGGTTTTAAATAAGTGTAAGGGCACACCTACTCTTCTTTAGTACATTCAAGAGAAAACTGCTTCCAACGCCGTGCCTTGGCTTCCTTGTCAAACTCAGAGCTGTTGTGAAGATTACTTTTCTGTACAATGATTACAACCATGCCAGGCATGGAGTGCTACCAAAGTGTGAGCTGTACCTACAGGGGGCATCAAAAAGTTGGTGGGAAAAAATAGAACTGAAAGCTCATGGGACTTAAAAAAAAAAAAGATCATGCGACTTTTCCATGAACCTTTTGACACTCCCTGGTATCGTCACTCAGGCAATTGTCCGGTTGTTTTCCTGATGTACAAGACTTCCCAACCCTTGGCCATCCTGCTGGCTTTATACTCTGCATCACCTCATTATGATAACTCCCTCTTTAAGAGTGTGGTGTCCACCAGTTACCGCAGACTTCAAAATCTCCCCAGCCCACAGGACCACAGAAGGGTTGCCTCAGCGCCACACGTTTAATGTGGTTTGGTGGTAGTCCAATAAAAGTATTTTTTTTAATTAAAAATTTAAAAAGACTAGACATTCTAAGGTCCATCGTGCTACCTAAAAAAAAAAAAAAAACTTAATTTGTGCCTAAGAGGTAAACAGATGGTAAAAGAAATAAAATTAGCATTTCTTGCTCTCTTTCATTTCGTCAACACAATCTGTCCCTAGGCTTGGCGGGAAGCCTTTGAAACCCATAGGTCTCTCATTGAATCCCACTTGGGACGGCTCATGTGTGGCTGGGAGTAAGCAGACTCCACTGAGTCTTGTTTTCATTTCTAAATTCCCTTTGCCATGGTTGTTGATAGTCTACAGTAGGCTTCATAAGGTTCATGGGGAAATGGAATTAAAAGATTGTGGGATTTTTAATTATTGAATGTAAAACTGAAGAGCTGCTCTGTGAATTTCACCTCCCGGATATACTCATGTATAAGTCGAGTTCTTCAGCACATTTTTAATGCAGTTTTTGTGGTAAAATTAGGTGCCTCGGCTGATTTTAGGGTTGCCTTATACTCAAGTATATATGGTAATTCTCTTTTTTTTTTTAAATCATGGCATTTTTCCGTGAAATTGCTACAGCTTCCTTCTGTACTCCAGAACATACCCACAGCTCAACAGCATCTGTACGTACACTGATTAAATTCTTGAGTTGTGTGACCATTTCCACCCTCCTTTTCGGAGCTGCTCCACCCCCATTAGCACCAACTGCTCCCTAAACTGCCATCTCATCATTTGAGTTGCTATGGCCAATTTGATGCCATACACAGAGTGGTTGAAAGAGTACTATGCTCAAGGTAGACCATCTGTACTAGTTAAGCTAAATTCTTTTTTTTTTAAGAAGACTCCTGGGATATTTTAGGCTTAAAAGCTTAAAGGGTTCATCCAGACTCCATGACTTCAGGTTTCCCTGCATTTGTCAAACCCTTTACATCAGGCATCTTCTATAGAATCTTTTATTCAAATGTTCAGTCATGGTAGCTTGGCACCATTTAGTTCTATCAGGTTTCATGGAAAAGGGGGCTGGGCTGTTAGCCACACATTCCATATCCTCCTCCTAGTCTGCTGTGAGTTTTTAGCAATAGATCACCACTGACCTCACTAATCAGTAACTAATAAGTAGAAGAGAACAACAAATTAACCATTATTCCTCAGGCTGGAGGAAGAGGAAGGGTTAGAATTCCTCCATTCAAATTCCATTCGGTAATGACTTCCTGAATATCTACTGTGGGCAAAGACCTTGTGCAGTACTTGACACACCTTTCATCTGTAGCCATAACCTTTTGGCTAAATTCATAGACCCACTTTTACTGGAAATAAAGCATTATCACTCTACCTTGCCCAGATGTTTTTTTCTCACATTTCATCAACCATTCAAAGTGTCATTCAGGTTCAAAATTTTCATACTCTCCTATTTCAATTTCAATGACTTGGACTTAGATCATTGGGTTGCTGTGGTTTCTGGATGACTGCCAGGATCCCAGGCTTCTTTCAGAAATCTGGTTGATGGCTTTTGGGAATCAATGTGGAAATGAAGCCTATCTGTGCTATCTGTCTACTGTTCTCACATACGCAATAACTGCTTCTTGATGCCCTATTTTGATACACTTGGTGAGTCCTGGTTCTAGAGCGCTGTGACCTGGGAAGCTCACTTCTGCCTGGGTAGTGGTGTCATCACGTCCAAGAGGAGGATGACCTCATACTTACGTTCAAGGGCTGTGTCGAGGACAAGGTGAAGTACTGAGTAATAGACGCACTGTGAGATACTAATCTGGCATCCTGAGGGGCAGAGCAGCCAGCAAGAAACTGTTCTTTCCTGCCCCACCTGTTCCCTTCCCCTGAGCCTTGGTACCTACCTATGAAACTGCCTACTGGCTCAGACTTGTTGTTAAGATAAAATAGGATATACAGGATCAGTCAAAAAGTATTGCTGCAAACCACCAGCTGCCTTTACTAAACATAATAAATGTGAGGCTATTGTTCCTCAACATACCCTCCAACTAGATCTATACACTTTGCCCTTCTCTCTCGCTAACCTTTCCCTGAATAATTCTGTCCTCTTCAACTGACACCACGTCGAAACAAGAGGTTTTGCATCCTTGAAGGACCTAAATCATGTTCCTTTTAAATATTTGAGTTCTAGGCACAAAAAGAAGTCAGAAGGGACAAGATCAGGTCTGTGGGGTCAGTGGGGTCAGTGGGGTATGGTTTTGCAAGGAAATTCTCAGGACAGCCCTTGCTGCCCTGAAGAATGAACAGGTACATTGTGATGGGGGGAAAACTTCCTCAGCACAACTTTCCCAGGCTTTTTCTTCCCAAAGCAGCTTTACGTTGTTTTCTTAGCACTTCTTCAGAATAAGCCCCTGTGATCATCCTGTGTCCTTCAAGAAAAAGACAAGACGACCTTCCAAGACTTCGGGCCCTCTCCGCCTTAAATATAACCACTAGGTCAACAGACCCCCCTAGAAAGTCACTGTTGGGATTGGACCATATTCTACTGATCATATTGGTAAGTCCAAGACACAATTCAGTGCATACAATCATCTTCAATAGTATGGATCTTGCCTAAAAGACTGATGGAGAAAGCAACTCTTTGAGAGCCCACCCAACTGAAAGTTTGCTAAGGCCAAAATGTTCACTTAACATGGAAAATACTGACCCACATGAGGGCCCAACTTCCGTAATCTCACCAATGGTCATTCGACAGTCGTCTGCCAGCTTCTGGACTTCAGCCAGTTTCTTCATTCATCAAAGCTGACGGTCTTCCTGTGCCTGACACACCTTTGCTACCGTCTTTAAAATGCTCGCTCGGGCGATCTAAAATGGTTCTTTTAAGTGGGGCAGCCATCCCATGAACTTGTTACAAGGCTTCAATGATTAGAGAAGATGTCCACTGAAGTTTTGTTAAAAATGTGATATTCGCTCTGACCTCAAAATGTTTTTCATCCGTGCCACAAAAAGGTTTTATTTATTTATTTTTGGTAAGGCACCCTAGGGAGACTTGACGGTACTCCACAGCAACAATGCAACTAAGACAAGCGTATTATTGAGAAAAGGGGTCTGCAGCCACCCATGATCACAGGGGTGTGCTTACAGCAGTTTTCTTTGGAGGGAGTCCGTGCATGTATGAATGGAAGCCCCAGTGGCAGTACTGTTTTGACCCACCTGCATGACCACGCATTGTTTACAGGCATCGATGTAAGCTGCCACTGCCCTCGCACATGATGGGTGGTCAATAAAAGTTCTTTCCAACTTAAGTCTGCAGCCCTCGGGTACAGTGACTTGCGAGGGTCACAGAAAGCCGGAGGGGTCCCAGGCCTGGAAATGCATCCTGGCCTTCCATACTTCTGCAGACTTCCATTTCCTCAACTTTACAATCACCTCAGTAGCCTCCCAAGTCCAACCCAGCATTATCATCTTATGAATGACAGTTGGTGGCAGTTCAGATTGTCTTGAGTCTGAAAAGAAGACTCTTTCCCTTGGTGGGAAGAGCCGGCCCACACCTCGACAATCTCCTAGAACAGGAGACTAAGGCACGAATGCTCTGGAAAGAAGCCGTCACCGGCATGGATATGCCGTTGCTCCAGAAGGACAGAGAGCAGTGGGCTGTCCTCCTTTCTGCTTGCCTGTGGGACTGCCACCCACACGTGGCATCTTATGGTTCAACCTTCATTTTCTAAATTCCTTTCTCTCGCCTGTAGTAAGATTCACATCCTATCCAGGGGTCAGGTTCTATGGTGAGAATATTGGCAGAAATGGCCTATCTCAAATACACCCTAGAAAATCCCAGAAGTCCCTCATGGTATGGGGTACACAGCCTGGGGGGGAAAGACTCCAGGTGCTCTGCTCTCTGTATGGTTCACCCTGCTGTCGTTCAATGTCAAAGCTCTACACCGACATGCTCCTTAAGAGATTTGTTTCAAAGCAGTTCTAATCTGCATCCGTGGGGTCATCATGAGTCAGAAAAGCAACTAACAACACACACACACAAAAGCGCTCAGCTCAGGGCTGGCACATCGTAGTGTTTATAAAAGCACACAGAATTTTCATTCAAAGCCACACACACACCGATCTTATGAAAGGCCATCAAGGAGAACCTGGCCACAGGCTTCCTGTTTTCCCAACCCAGAATGTTCTATGGGACTCCAGTTCTCATGCCCTTTAGGTACCGGTCACAGCTCATCTTGGGAGAGATGGAAAGGGTGGACGGCAGTGTCCTAGGCCCTGAAATCACCATGTGGTTCTGCAGCACTTCCTGAAAGCCCACCCAGGGAATGGCTGTCGACGATCTAGAAGCAAAAGTCCAGGCCCGGTGCAGACCTAGATGAGCCAGACTCCAAAGTCCGAAATGCTATTGACCAGCACAAAGAAGTGTCCCTGGAGGTCCTCTTACATTGCTGATGTACTCAAGGGGAGTGAGGCTAAAGGTGGGCAGGTCATCCGTGAGAGTCTCTCCAACACTGGCTGTGCTCCAGCTCTAAGGAAGGAAGGAGAGGAAATAATCAACAGCCAGCAACCAGGCAGCAGGGAAAGTGCCAAGCACTGTGCCGGGGCACAGAGGAAGGCTGAGGGAGGACAGGCGTCCCCACTAGGCATTCTCTTCACTCCAGGCAGGGACCAGGACTCTCTCTCTTCTTGAAATAATTAGTTTGAAACCCACCTCTGAGACTGGCCCCCTTCCCCTCCCTCCACCTTCCTGCAGATCAGTAAAGCAGGACCAGATCCCTGGGACCTCACTTCATTGTGTCCAATAGTTTAGCTCAACATTTCTTGGATCGGTTGGGTGTGAGGGGAGTGGGGGAGGGAGAAGGGCAAGATGTTCACACTCACTGGGTGCAGGTAGCCTCACTCACTCTTGGCCACGGCACCCTGAAAACAGTACCCCCGCCCCCATGCCCTTACAGAGACCACACGTGAGTGACCCCCAGATCTTGGGAGAAAGGCTTAAGATGCCTCTTCTGGCTACTGAGATGTCCAAAACAACGCTCCCCCATAATATACTCTGCCCACATAAAAACTGCCGCTTGCGCTTCCATCTGCCTTCTGGAGCTATTCCTCAAGGGACTTACAACTTCAAAGGAAAGAGTGAGAAGGAGCCTCCAAAGCCCACCGCCTCCTTCGGCCCTCTCTCTGACCCCTGGATCGAGGGGCTCCCATCATCTAAAGTGGAGAGATCTACAGGATCACCCACAGAAAGTCAGGCAAACGGCCGGCATTCCTGTGGCTGCAGACCTCACCTGCCACAGCTTCCCCACCAAGTCTAGTTTCTTAATTCCAGGCTGGGTCACCCCACAGCCCTCTCTAGCTGGACTCTTGCTTCGACTCTCTGCAACCACCTGATGCCCAATCTGGTCACTGGGTCCTTTAGCGGCATTCCAAGACGTCAATGCTATGTCTCCGCACCGGCTCCCAGACCAGCCCGAGCCACAGCAGCCTACCCCACACCCTCCAGCACCGACTCAGTTCTGCCTGATATTCTTTGCACTTCTTTCCTTTCCTTTCACACCCTTCCTTGCCATTGTCTAGATTCCTGCTCCTGTTTGAGAAGTCTCTCTTGCTTCCAAGTATCTTAAATGCCCTGACGACTAACACGCCAACCATTTATATATAGTACCTTGTACTAGGTTTGTGGACTAAGGCCTGGTCCTTATACTCCAGAAGGGACCCCTCAAGACCACCACCCTTTTACACACCCCATGCTGCCCACCTTCCTCCTTCCTTCTCCCACCACATATGTACACACATACAGGCTTCCAATTCAAGAGTTCCCAGTGTCTGACCCAAGGTTTACACAGGAAGAGTACAAAGAAGCAAGAGCTCAGAGTGAAGAACGGAAAGAACAGACACAGACACATGAGATGCTGAGAGCTAGAGAGGGAGTCTGAAAAGAAAGAGTATACTGCGTGGAACAGCACGCTTAAGAAACAGCTTTATCCTCAACAAATAAATTACCAGGAGTGGGGAGTGGAATGGGGGCAGGCAGGCATAGAGATGTAAAACACACATCAACCTGCTGGTCCTCATGACGAGATTGCTGAAGATATGAGTGCTATAACTAAGGGTGGTGAAGAAACTAGATGGTGCCCGGCTATGAGAAAGAATAGTGCCTGAGGTCTTAAAGGCTTGTCTTCAAACAAGCAGCCATCTAAGTGAGGCATCAGCTAAATCGACATGAAAGAAGCACACCAGCCTGTGTGCTCTAAGGACTGTAAAGAATAAAACCCTCTGAAGGAGGGAATGGTATCAGAGCTTAAACTGTGAGTACCTAGTTTTCAGGAAGCTATGATGATAATGGAAATCCAAAATCCATTTTCAGGGTCCAAACATGGATTAAACTTCCAGTGAGTGTCCCCTGGTCATAGTCCAGGGTTGTGAATAGCCTTGTTATCATACAGAGAGCATTGTAAAGTCAATCTAGTAAGTACAGTTGGGTTAAAATGTACTATCTTATTGGATATACCTTTTGACCAATTTAAAAGTTAAGTTAAAAAAAAAGTGAAGGGAAATACACATGGATCAATCCTCCATTGAATCCCCTCTGACCATGAACCTGCGATGTGAATAGCCTTGCTATCATGTAGCGTGCACTGGAAAGTGAATTATGGCAAATGTAGTTAATTTAACACCTCATCATATGATCTCCCCTCTTACCCATTTTAAAGTTGTTCTAGTGTTCCATACTTTATATTGTCTGTTCAATTTAGGCTTTTCTCTGTTTCATTTTGTTATTGTTGTTAAGTCAGTTTTTGTTTGTTTGGTTTTTGGATTGGTATATTTTTCTGTATATGAAATCCAGGATAGGTAAGTTTATAGAGATCGTAATTAGATTAATAGTTTCTTGGGGGTAGGGCTGGGGAGATTGGGGTCAAATGAGGAGCTAATAACAATACGTACGAGAAAGAAGAACATGTTCTAAAATTGATTGTGGCAATGATTGTACAACTCTTCTTGATATGACTAAACTATTGAATTGTACGATATTTGGATGGAGTGCCCAAAACAGTTTTGTTAAAAAAAAAAAAAAGACACCAACCAGTCACAAAAAGCAGAACTTACATGAATCCTGACTCAAACAGCTACAACGAATCATGACATAGATAATACAATTGGAAATTTGAATACCAGCTAGTGACATTATGGAACTTATTTTAATGTTATTTTTTAGAGGTGAGTGTGTTACTGTGGTTTTCCTTTAGAGAAGGGGATCTGTATGAGACAGAATGGTCAGGACCTGGTGGCTGATGAAGTCAGGTGAGGAGAGCACAGGGTTCCTTATACTTGTGGAAATTTCAAAAATAGAAAGCTTTCCAAAAGTTATGGTGTGAGACACAATTAGAGCAACGCTTTATAAAGACTGACACGACAGCTCTGAGGAGGACGAAGGGGTCAGGAACAGGCAGATTAAAAGCTCAAGAAAGAGTTCATAGATAAGGAAAGCCCATTGTAGGCCAGTGGCCATAGAGGATGATGGGACATTTTAAAGGAAGAAGCAACAAATCCTGGTGGCTAAGTGGCAAAGAATGATGTCTGGGTGGTGAAAATGGCTACCATCTGAGGTTGGTGGTTCGAAGGCCCCCAGTAGTGCCACAGAAGAAAGTCCTGGCAACCTGTTTCTGTAAAAATTACAGCCAAAAAGACTACCATGGAGTGTAGTTCTACTACCCTGTAACCCACGGACTCGTCATGCATCAGACCGGACACAATGGCAGGGCGTTTGTTTGGGGGTTCAACTGGCAGAGAGGGGCACAATCAATGAGGGAGCAGAAAACGGAGAGGGGTGATGGCTCCAGAGACACTGTGATCAATCCCTGGGGGCGGGGCAGGAGCAAGGAACAAACTGTGGAGTTTCTAAGGCAGGTGTGGCCGGAATCCATGCAACAAACAGTGGGCTGGAGGCAGGAGGAACGAAAGAAAAGGCACCTGCAGGGAAGACAGGCGAAGAGCAGCCTGTGTGGAAAAGAAGTCTAGAATAAGGGTCGCACAGCACTCATGACGCTAGAGAGGAGCTAAAAGCAGGCTGAGCAGGTGGGCCAGAAGAGAGAGCACCGGAGAGCAATGATTATTTTTTTAATCATTCTAAGGGTTTGTTTTTTTAAATTGCCTTCACATGGGCTTTTCTCTACATCTTTCAACAGGCTAATATAGGAAAACTTCAGTAATCTGTTCTGAAATTCAATATAGCACTGGTTTATAGCCTGATAATATAAAAGGACAATATAGTGTACCGGCAAAGATAAAAACAAACATTGAATGACCAAGGTCTAATTTCCAATCCTTAAGGCCAAAGTGTTTGCCTTTGTGCTGCGAGCTGTTGTGCTGGCACTCTCGGGAGAGCTCCCGCTAATCTCCACAGCGAGCTGTGTCCGTTCCCAGCAGCCTCCCAGGTTGTGGGGAGACCAGCAGGGGAGGGTGCCAGCCAGCTCCTCAGATGGAAATCAGAATAATGAACTGTGGAATGCAGAAGCCAAGGCAAAGGGCAGGTGATTAGCACTAAGCCCGTTTAAGTATATCGCTAAGACCTAACAACTGAGAGAATTAAGGTCTCAGAGCAGAAGGTCCATATCTTAAGCTCTGCAAAAATGAAAATAATCAAAACGGTCAAATCAGGAGGCCAGGGAGGGGCAATGAGAGAGGTTAAGGAAGGCTGGCACCCCCTCACTAGAGCAGGTCCATGGCCACCAGTGTCTGTCCACAGCACACAAGTGGTCAGCAGAGCAGTGAATAGTGCTACTCTCTGAGGAGTCTGCACAATCCTTTTTCTTAATCTTAGACACCTCTTTTGGCAACTGATATCTCAAGTGATGAAGCAACAATGAGCTCAAGTTCAACAAGGCTTCACTTCAGCTTCTCTTTTTTAGTTATATAGTATAATACGGCTTTCTAAAGCAACAACAAAAAATCTACTTACCTATCTATGATCTATGCCCGTGCAACTTTCCACATGGGTGTGGGTGGGCACGCAGAGGGGGCCTCAGTAAAGGACACCAAATGTTTACATGGATAATTGCTAAGCAGGGATATTTTTGAAGTAGTGACTGCTTTATATTGCTTGCATTTCCAAAAATGAATAGAAGTTTATTTTTATTAAAAAATAAGAAGTCATTCTTCCTTCTCCTGAGGATTCCGGGAACTCCTTTCTTTCTCCCTAGAGGTGGGGCACACCACTCTCCCTGTGAGACATTCCTATTGACAAACCACAGAGAGCTAGGCTGTTGGAGCCAGAGCCCTGGAGCTGCAGGAGCCATGTGGAAACCCACACAAGCGCTGAGGTACTTCCCCCACCACTGGATCCACAAGACTTTGCACCAACTTATGGGCTAATATTGGACATATGGACTTAATCTGAACTGGGCTGAGATGTTTTCTTAATATACAATTACTCTGATATAAAACTCTCTCTGACACATATATGAGTGTCTCTGGATTTGTTTCTCTAGTTAACCCAGACTAACACAGGCTGCATGCCCCTTTTAAGGATGAGTAGATGGACGCTCAGTCATGGGATCTGCTGTGGCCAGTGACCATTGACATCACTTCTGCTGCCTGCATGGGAGCTGTGACACCTCCCGTTTTACTTCCCATGGTCCCAGAAAAGAAAATCTGGTCCCAACAGACTTCATAGGATTCTGCACAGGAAACTCCTAAAGACTGAGAACCACAGAATTTCAAGGATGGAAAGAACCTCACAAAGCATGTAGTTCAATCACATCCCTTTGTGGCTGGCGATGCTGAGACCCATGAAAGGCAGGAGACTTGACCAAAGCCAGGCAGAGAGTGAGTGGTCCTTGGCTTAGGGCCACTACACTTTCCAGAGGGCAGCAGACAGCAAAGAGATTGGAATTATGCCATCCAAGTTTTTGCAAGCTCTCTTTACTTGGTTCCTGCAAAGAGGTTCACTTGGCTTACTGAAGACCTTTAACTATCTTGCCCCCCCCCACACACACCTAAAAAGGGGGCAAATCAAGATCGACTTGAGGGGAAGAGACTGGATCCAGTGAGTAAGGTTAACTAGGGAGAGATGAGGTCTGGGCAAGGGGAAGACAGGCCAAGGAAAGAAAATACGGACAGAAGGGAAGAGGTTGCAGGGCGAAGGAGGTGAGGCTTCTCTAAGAATACCAAGTGGAAAAGGTGCCCAGGAACCCTTCAGAATCTCAGATCTATGTAGGGCACTCTCCTGGATAAAGTTGCAGAACTAAATCTCCAGAAATGCCTGTGGCATGGGAACAACCTCATTGCAAAGGCCAGTGAGCTCCTGGGAGCTGGCCTGGCCTGCCCTGCAGCACATGATCTCTTTTACAGCTCCCTGAGAAGACACTGCTATGTGGTTTCCAAGTACTGAAAAACTAAGCAAGCACGATTTATAACCCCGAGACAATCTACAAATAAAGCATCAGACTAACTGCAAGTGAGGTGGGATGCCCCTGCTAAATGATGAGCTGAGAAGGCTGGTGACCCTCTGCCCTGGGACTTCCAGTCTAGCGTGAGCCTGGGCTCCTCCTGCATTTGGGCAGGCAGCAGCTCACCCCGGGCTCAAACATGCAGGAAGGAGGGGTGGGACCTCGGGGCAAACACTGCAGGGGATGAAAACTCACGTCCATCTTGGAAATGAGTAAGAGCTGCTGCTTGATGCGCAGGAAGACGGAGTCGAAAGCCAGCTGGTGGGCCTGCTGGTTGAGCCGAGTGAGTGCTGATCGAGACGCAGACAGCAGGTTATGATTGCTGGATCCCTTTTCCTGAAGGACCAAAGTGAAAGGCCGTTTATTAGGCTCAGAATTCAACCAAAGCATTAACTAATTAAACATTTTTTAAAAAACACTGAAAGAAAAATAGCGAGGGGGAAACACAGGCAAGCTGCAAGGTCAAATTCTCATGGACTTCAGGTTTTCTGCAGCCAAGGAGGCTGGATGAATCCCCCACACGATCAGCCTGAATACTCTTTAAACCTTAAACCCAAATGTCCCCTGAAGTCCTCTTAACACCTAACAAGAGTTTAGCTTAACAAGTAAAGCATCGTGTCAAGCAACTGTATTCTCGTGAGATCTCTCTGTACAGCATCACACTGGCACAAGCACCTCAAAAGGTTAGGTAAGAATCACTGAGGACCCACCATGAGTTTGTGTTAATAGGGGAGGAATAATTCTGAAAAGGAGAGTGAGAAAGCTTACACAACTTGAAGAATGCTGTCAATGTCACTGATTTGTGACATGTAGGGACTGTTGAATCGGCGTCTTTTGTTATGTATAGTCTCAACAACAAAAAGAAACCCCAAAAATTATTTTAAAAGGCGAGGGAGGCTTCTTTCTAGACAGTAGTAGTTGAAAAACCTGACTGTGCCCCAGAATCCCCTGAGAAATATGCTAAAATACATTTGCATAGGTTCCAGCTGAGAATCTGCTATGTTGGAGCCGAGGATCCTCCAAGTTTCAGGCGATTCTGATGCCTCTGAGCTGACATGGGCTCCTGAAGTGGCCGTCTAGGTGAAATCACAGCTAACCTATGACTGTCTCTAAGGGACCAAAGGTGCGAAGCTTCACGAATAAACAAGAGTGAGCTTCAGAACCCTAATTTAGACTCAGCTAAAAGCCAAAGAATGTACAACCTGTGCAAGTCTCAAGGAATTCCAAGCAGCCTGAGAAAATACAGAGGTGGAAAATGTAACCTTAGTTTTGCTATTATAAATGAACCGATTACAACAAACAGACATAAATCAGATTAGCAATAAAGATAAACAGAGCTGCTTTAACCTAATCACAGAAGCATGGATGAGTGAATTTACAGAATTGCTTTCAGAAGTGTTTGTCAAGTTCAAATGCAGCCAGCTAGGGGGCCAAGGTGCAAGGGGAAGGAGAAGACCCCCGGAGGATGAGGACAAAGCCCCAGGGGTGTGCGGAAGTAGCCTCAGAGAGCAGCGCCAGAGCTCCAGGCCCGTACTGGGAGAAGAGTGACGTCTCCCCAACACAGTGAGGCTGACGCCAGACTAGAGCGGCAGGGCAAGCAGGGAAATGGTTGTGAAGAGGCTGCCTGGGGCTGACATGTAGGCCTGAGGTCATTCATAAGAAGCTACACGCTCATTCCTTTGTTGAGAGGGTCTCCTGTCCCTGAACTCCCAAGTCCAAAGCCAAGTGCAGCTTGATGGAGGCAAACACAGCTCTGAAGGAACATGTACCACGTCCTCATCTTTTCAAGAGTTCTTGGCCAACTTGTGCTGCTGCTTTCTCTTCATTTCTTGCTCCTTCTCTCGGGAAAAGGGCTGACTTCTCTGGCTGCTGAGTTGGGGGTCATTTAGGGGTTCTGTTCCCTTCTCTACCTTCACTCAAACGGGGCTGTCCCTGCATGAGGGCAGAGGCTGCCAGGGCTGCTTACCCTACTGACAAACTAAACCCAAGGGAAGTATTAGCAAGGCCCTTTGGCTGCAGAACCGAAAGCCACACTCACCAACCACCACGAGCTCCACCGACCTCGCCCCTACCTCTGTTTCTGTTTTCAAGTCCATTTAGTCGGTTAGCTCCCTAATACCCCAACACAAAGGTGAAAGAGAAGTCGGAACAAGACTCACTGGAGCCTGAGAGCCTGGATCAGGGACAAGGGACAAGCTTTCATTCGCAAGAATGCCATCAGTCTGGTCTCGTACCTTGAGGGTATAAAGTATTTCCATTAAACTGGAATATTCCGCAGGGTTCTCTTTCTGAAAGTAATTATATTCTTGCCAGGGATTCTTGGCAGTGCTCTTCCTGTCTGTCAAGATGCTCTCCTGAAAGCCGGTCAGGCTCTGTGGGCAGTAGGAATCACTGAGATACTTCCCAGCTGTGGACAAAATCCTGCAACGAGAGTGGTAACCGGTATGCCTCCTCCACACTGTCAAGGGACTGTCTTCTAAGGACATTCAGCTGACTCCTTACGCTGAACCCCAGGCGCTCCTCCTGGGTCAGGGAGAGAGTTCTGAGCCATACTCGTAGTGAATGAGGACAGCACTCATTGTGGAGGAGGGAGCAGGATCAAAGATGCACAAGAGCCCAGGGGGGCTCATTTCCTTTTTCACACTCGCTCTGCTGACCCCTGCCACCTTCCTACAGGGACATACGACCTCCACCAGGGCAGTTCTCTGTCAACTACAAGCGTGATACCGTGCACTCTGGGAGGTCTTTTTTCTCAAGTGGGCTTGCTGCCCAATGTCCTTCACCCCACAGCCTTCCTGGGGCGCACGCCCTGTGGTTCAGGGGCTACCGTGTGGTCTGCCAGGAGCTGTACCTTCCTCCAATCTTTTCCAAGAAAAACGCCTAGAGGCGGGTCTTGGTGGTGGTGCCGATCAGCCTAGTGTGGTCGGGGAAGCTGCACCTTCACCTTCCTCCGAGATGGCCTGACCATTCGTTCCACACACTTACATGTGTATGATGACAGGACGTACGTGAGTGCTTTCGAACCAGTGCTGGGGCAGGGCCTCCTCGGAAGCTGCTGCTGAGAGCAGCCACTGGCCTCGGCCCTTAGGGTCAGGTCGGTCCTGGGGCGTTTTGACTGGGTGTCTATCATCTATTTCTTGGCCCCCAGCACTGAGTCTGGTGTGTGGAAGGTGCTCCCTGACCATGTGTAGAATGAGAGGTGACCCTCGGTGTGGACTGTGACCTCTGAAAAGTCAGCTGTCCTTTGCCAGGCGGCAGCGATATGTGTTTCAGGCTCCATGAGCTAAGGGTAACGTGATGGCACTGCACCAGCCTACCAGCCAAGCAAAAGAAAAGTCAGGGATGTTCCAAGTATTAAAGATGGGAGCTAATGTTTTCAGAATAACTACAGCCCCAACTATAAAGAACAGGAGATGCCTTTTTCTGCTCATCCACTTCACCCACCCACACACCATCAAGTTTATTTAATCCTGAGCATCTGATTCCTTACGAGTATTGTCCACAAAAGTTTCGTTATTCCTCAGAGACATTTGGGCTGACGAATGTGCAGACACAGTCTCTGCCGGCAGGAAGCTCCGAGTTCACTGGGGAGGTCACTGTGTGCGCAGAGAAACTGGAGGAAACATGTGCTCAGTGCTATGCCAGACCAATGCAGCAGGTGTGTACAGAGAAGGATGTGAGCAACATTTCCCTCCCGTCCACTTCCTCTTCGTAACATATGGCCAAGGAAATGTGTCCAATGTATCAAAATCCTCCACCTGACTGTCCTGTTGGCTTGGTCTAATATGACCTCATCCTGGAAGAAAGATCATGACTCTAAAAACAGGCATTCCGCCCCTCGGCAGTGCACAGGAGACACAGCGGTCCCCCTGCATCTCTCCACCTCCCGTGCCCAGGGCAAGAGACACTCCTGGGGGGGGGGGGGGGGACAGCACCATCAATCAATGACAAAATGAGCCTTTGGCCAGGAAGTGATCTTCAGAACCATGCCACTCCAGTCACTAAAGCACAGACTGGAGCGTCTCTAGCTCCTGCCCCCCCCCTCCCCAGGAGGGAGCGGTTCTTGCTAAGAGATTGCCAGAGAGATAAGATAAGCTTTATAGGGCCTGCCACCCACTGTGCAGACTAGCTGATGGGAACACAGATGGTGCCTGTGGCTCTTTGCCCACCCTAAGCTTGGTGTTTCCACGATGAGGCGCCTGGAGATTTGCCCAGGCGGTGATCTTGTACCACAGCCGGCACCTAGTTTTCCACCTCGGTGGGCTGCGAGAGGCAGTTTGAGAGGCTCATCCTTTAACCAGACTTGTCCATGTGTATCCTCCTAACCAGGCTTCTCCGTACCCTGTAGGACATCACATTTGCTTTCCTTCAAAGATTAAGGAAAATCTTTGTATGCCTCGATACAGCAGGCTGGCTAAAATACGGTGAAAACATAAGTAAAAAGGCAGCTTTAGAGTAACAGTGCATTGTTGTTTTTTAAATGTGCAAGCAAAAGGGGTTTCGAAAGGTTCATGGAAAAACAGAAATGAATGCAAATGGGATTTTTCCACGAACTTTTTGAAGCTCCCTGGTATGAAAGTCTACATGTTGGGGCAATGTAAAAGCCCTGGCAAGGCAGGCCCTGGCAGAGGTCAGAACCAAGAAGGCGAGCAGAGTAGACTTTTCATAGGCAGACTCCAGAGACTGCCCTTGACACACACCCTCTTGGGCAGCACAGAATTCTGCGCCAGAAACCAGAAAGCAGGCTGGTTGGGTTATACTCGATTCTACAGGCTAGCCAAGGGACCTCACAGCCATTTGTCATGCTAGCTTCTATGGGGCAATTTAATCTTAGCTGTAACAGCTGACTGGCAAATAAGCCATCAGAACCCAGCCCACTCATCATTTGGAGACAGTGTGTACTGCTTCCTCATTGGGCTGAACCCTCCCTATCTAATCAGTTACGTGTGACCATTGCCAACTCCAATGGCAATGTCCTTGCCCTCTCTGGTGCCCAATAAAAGTTTCATGACGATACTGGTGACCACTTGTCTCCTGGTTCAGGCCACCCTCATGACCTGTGACTGTCAGGGGTGACCATATGCTGTTCTTGCTGTAATGCACACTGGATGGAGTTCCTCCCCAAGCAAGACCCTTGGGGACTTTGGGAAAGGTCTCCCTCCTACCTGTTTGCCAGCTGTTGCTCCAAGTCCCCACACTGCCGCAAGAGCTCACCACAGGTGGCTATTATCCTAAGCAAAACGAACAGGCACACTTCAAATTGGAGTATGGGGAATGGGGACATTTACAGGACATTGACTCACTCTTAAAAATTCCAGTTATTCTGCACTCTCTGAGGGTTCTGGCCTCTGGGAACACAGGAAAAGTTTCCAACCACGTGATGGCCTACTTGAGAAGTTTCATTGACTAGAAATGAATGTAATGAGTAAAAGCTCATTCCTTCAAATATCCGCCAGGCACAGGTCTCTCTGGCCTGGGTCACAAGTCTCCCAGTGTTACCTCCATAATTGCATCCTTTTTTCAAAATACTGCAACACTTTGAGACTTTATCCTTGAGGAAATGGACCATAAATCCCTGGCCTCTAAAAACTGAAAAATCAAAATGTATTATTTCACAGATTGGTACCTGTTTGTCAAACAAAGGTGAGAAAATAGTTTTGATATGAGGGCTATCTCTCTCTGCTCACATGAAATGTAGATGAAGATTATTCCATTTGTTTCCTGGAGACAAGCTTGAGTGCTCATCATATCTGCTTCTAATAATCCTTGGATTTTCAAAGTAATTTTATGCTTGGCCTCAGACTCCAGCTACTGAGCCCTTCAACACCACACTAATACTGGAAGGGCAAATCCAGGGATTAAAAATATCTTAAATCTAGTTAACTTTTAACTTTCTCTCAAAGTGCCTATCATCACCAGGGGATCTGGGCATTCCATCATAAGAAAATTGATGAGAAAGTAAAATATTCCACTCGCTTCAGGTATAACCGAACAACCTTGTACATCGTATTTTCCTATCTGTCTAACTATCACAGATGATGGGGGATACTATTAGCACTGAGACCTTTACATTTCATTTCATTTTTTGCAATAAGCAAAAAAGTATGTATGGTTACATATATATGGATGTATCTGTTTAAGTATACATATGTGTAAATAATAGGACCAAAAATATGGGACAGAACTCAAATTCTTAAAAAGCCCAGTCTTAATGGACCCATTGAGACTCTTGTCCTGAGACGCTTTCGACCTGGAACCAAACTTCTCCTGTTGAGTTAAGTAACAGATTGGTTCCTGACATAAAGACTGTCAGCACAGAGCATCACATGCCCTTAAAACACGTCTACATGAGACCAAATGGACAATTACTCAGAGACAAAAATGGGAAAGTCAAAAGGGCAGGGAAAGTAGATTGCTAGAAATAGGATGACCAGAATGGAAATAAAGAGAAAGCGGACATACTGAAAAAGGTAACTATGTCACTGAACAATTTGTGTCAAATTGTTAAAGGGGGACTTAACTTTGTTGTATTTTACATTTAAAAAATCAAAGTACAGGAGGGAGTCCGTGAGGAGACCGTGGCCCTATATGGCCCAGGATCTGCCCTGACTACAGGTGGCCAGCCTTGGGGACCCGGCTGTGCTGTGGCCTGGCCCAGCACATTGAGAGCTCCACGTGTCATGGGCACCCTGCATGTCACCTAGGCCAGGGATCAGGCAAGAATGTAAGTGACTGAAGCTGGACAAGCAAAGAGCAGTAATTCGCTTAGCACTCCTACAGAAAATCACTAGTGGCTTTAAGGAAAATAAATTTCTAGATTTTTATTTTTTTTTTCATTTCAGCTTAAGAATATAGTAAGGTAGGTTCCCTGAATGGCCCAAGTGGTTTCCACTTGACCACTTACCTGAAGGCAGGCAGTTTGAACTCATCTAGCAGCACTACAGGAGCCCTGTGATGTAGTGACTACGCATTGGGCTGGGAACCACAGGGTCGCCAGTTCGAAACCACCAGTTGCATCTCAGGAGAAAGGCAGGGCTTTCTACTCCCATCAATAGTTATAGTCTCAGAAATTCGCAGGTGCAATTCTACTATGTCCTGTAGGGTTGCTATGAACAGGCACAGACTCAATGGCAGTGAGTTTGGTTTTGGGGGAGCAGCACCACAGATGAAAGACACACCAGCCAATCTGACTCTGTAAAGACTACAGATACAGAAGCCCTCAACTTCAACTCCATAGCAATGGGTTTGGTTTTGGGCTTAACAGAGTAGTTAGTAGCAGGCCACTTGGGAGCAATGCACACAGCAGGGAACAGAGCTGCTAGGCCTCGTGGAGGTTGGCCTTGTGTGAATGCAGACCAACCCCCACCCCCTTTTTTTAGGTGATCTGTATTTTTATGTCAGATATGGTTTAAAAGCTGGCAATTAATTCAAACAATACACATCCACAGGTCAGATCTGGTCACAGGTCAGCAGTCTGTACTCTCTGGATGGATGTATCAAGGCCCAAACTTTCTCAGGCCCCTGCCAATGGCACTCCCAAATGTGGTCCTTTGCAGAAAGTCTAATATTGCCTTACTCTTTACACAGGGTCCTGTTAGCTGTCTGTTCGCTAAAAGGTAAACTCTACATTATGTTAGGCCTGTAAAAGCCAAGAGGCTTAGGGGAAAAAGCAAAAAAAAAAATCTCGTACCAGATACAAAACTCAAGTCACTGAAGAAGAGTCCATAGTATCTTTTTCTCTATTTTTTTAGAGGGGTCCTTTTGATCTTGGTAGGTTTGGGTTTTGATGGTTTACTGGCCTCTTTTCTGAGCCAGAGGATTTGCTTAAAATAAATAAAAGGAACATCTGACACTGTCGGGCACTGAGGCAAAGGCCATTCTAGAAGGTCAACTGACAGCAGGTTCTTAATAGCCAAATTCAACTATATCGTTTGTTATGTTAATCATGGGTTATTACTACTGCTGAGTGTGTGCCGAGCTGTGTGTGTTGGGGGGTGGGGGTCATGTAGTAATGTTTGGAAACTGACAGTGGATGTGGGTGTGCAGCACAGTGAATGTGATAAATTGTACATACACTGTCACTCATATGCATTACGTAAAAATAGGTGCAATGGCAAATTTTGTGCTATTGTATATAGTTTACCACAATAAAAGGTCAAGAAAAAGGTGAAGCCCGTCCTAATGTGTTCGTCACTTTTCTACACTACACTCTGCATGTTTCTGTTAGTGACAACAGGCACACTTGAAGGACCACCTCCACTTCACCTAATGGAGTTCTGAAAAGCCGTCCAATCCTCATGGAAGAGGGAGCTGGGGGGGATATCATCCAGCTTACACTTCTTTCGAATCGACTGGAGAGTATTGGTGAAATCAGACACATACCTAGAGGGAGAGAAGGAGGGGGAGGGAGGGAAAGACGTCAGCCATGTCTTTATATCTTACATTGAAGGACTTCTGGGGTTATACAATGGGGGACAAGTGCTAATAATCTGAGTGTCTTTGGAGGCATTTGCTGAGGAGTGAAACTACATATAAACCTGTGACCACAAAAAGACCCTTCTGCATTTGGCAAGCTTGTCTCTTAGCTGGCAGAGCAGCTTTCGGAGAGGGGCTCCAGATGGAAAGGAAGGGAGGGGCTGCTAGTTGGGCTCTGATGACTGGGAAGGTGGGAGACAAGGCTGTCAAATTACCTCCTTGTGCTAATAAACGCACCTTTGGAAGCTGGCTCAAAGAGCTATCTTCCAGCGTGGCAGTCTCATCATAATACATGCTGTCACATTGGATGCTGTGAAGTAGTTCACTGACAGGGTACTTTTGCAGCATTCTCGCCCTGGATTCCAGAGATTCAAGTTCCACGGCAGGCAAGGGCGTAATGTCAATGGCACAAGAGAGCATGGACTTGGATTCAAGGCCAGACAACTCGCCTTCACTCAGACTGCGGTGTTGTCTCTCATTGTACACCATATACTTTTCTTTGTAGCACCTAACAATACTACAGTAAATGTACTCACTGAATGGTAATTACCTGCCCTGGGCACACTGCAAGCCCTGGGACAGCAGGACTGTGTGTGTGGCTCCTGATTGTATCCCTAGGATGTTGCCCAGGGGCTGGGCATGGAGTAGAAACCCAAACTATTCTTCAATGAATGGAAGATTTGCACTGCGGCCTCGGGCAAGTTCCTGGATGTCTTTGGGCCTCATTTTCCTGGACTCTGAAATGAAGCTCATCATATCTTCCATCTTGCCTCACAGCATTGTTGTCATGACAAGATTAAACAGATGAAGTAACAGACATCCAAATTCACTGGCAAGTATAACATCTATCTGGTGGTGGAATTTTTAAAAAATATAGTTCTTGGGCTAGGCATAAATAAGTGCATGTCCTCGGTAAGGAAGACCGAGGGGAAGTCATATTCGTTGAAAGTCAAGGGACTCCTTAAAACTCTATGGCATCTCTGTATATTCCCAGAAGCCTAACCCCAAATCACAAGTCATAAATGAGGCAAGCTGGATGTGACGACCCAAAGTGTGGCCCTGAAGAGTAAGTTTGTGCAGTGCTCGAGAGCATGGTCACTCAAAGAATCAAGTAGAAGAAACTGCTGGGATCACTCCACTAACTACAAGTGATACTGTTGCGCCCTCTACAAGTCCTTTCAAGGCTTTCAAGCAGAGGCCTAAGACATCAAAATCCCACTAATGGTACCTGCCCTTGGCACACACTTCTCCTTGGGAGGAGAAGGAGGCTAGGCCTCAAGGGCACAGAGACTGGGCCAGATTGATGAACATAATGGTGCTTTAGCTAGAGGAGGTTGAACAAGTGTGCTTGTTGCCATGTGGTAACTGTGGCGAATCTGTAAAGCAGAGCAAGTCATCCATCCAACAACCCATGTGTGCCACAGAAGGGCATACGACAGGGGTCCTGCGATGGCAAGCAGGCTATAAACCACTTTGGGAGAGGTAATTCTGGCTAATCAGGGCTGCTTACCACAGCTATATGCAAATGCTTGTCATATCCCATTATCGTTTGCTCCAGGATTCCAAATGAGTTTTATCATAAAATTTCTTAAGAAAGGGTAGTTTTTTATCACATCACTTTATCCTAGGACCCTCCCAATTTTTTCTGACAATAAATGTTTCCAAATGTCTACCATGTGAGATGAGGTGGTAGTGCAGGGATTAAGCACTCAGCTGCTAATCAAAAACTTGATGTTTGAACCCCCAAGCCACTCTATAGGAGAAAGATGGAGCTAGCTGCTTCCATAAAGATTTACAGTCTAGGAAACTCTATGGAGCGGAGCTGTGCTGCTCTGTCCTACGGTATTGCTGAGTCAGAATCAATTTGATGCAATGAGTTTGGTTTGACTGGTTTTTGTTTTTAATTAATTAATCATTTTCGTGGGGGCTCTTACAGCTCTTGTAACAACCCATACATCAATTGTATCAAACATATTTATACATATGTTGCCACCATCATTTTAAAAATATTTTCTTTCTGCTTGAGCCCTTGGTATTAGATTCCCTTTTTTCCCCTCCTTCTCCCACCCTCCCACCCTCATGGACCCCTGATAAATTAAAAATTATAATTATTTTCATATCTTACACCATCCATTGTCTCCCTTCACCCAAATCTGTTGTTTGTCCCCCTGGGCTACAGGGTGGGGGCACGGGGAGGTGGGGGTTATACATCGATCATTGTAATCAGTTCCTCATTTCTCCTCTACCCTTAGCTATGTTAAACCACATAAAAATCACTGTGCATGGAGCTTTTGTATCCTGCTTTCATTTAATATTCTCAAGCCCAGTGGAAGGGGATCCATCCTGTTTACTCAAAGAAAAGACAGCAACGCTCAGAGAGAAACACTGACCTGTGCACAGTCACACTTAGTAATGATCAGAGCCAGCAGTTGAAGCTGGGTGGGTCCAAGTCCAGAGACTACTTTTCAGTCATAGCAAGATGGCCCTTAGTTCTCGACTCACCTGGTCAGTTGTAATAGCCTACATTGCCACCATAGTTTGGGTTAGACCAATCTACTTCCACTCCTGTGTGTTCCTTCCTACCTCCGCCTTCCACAAGACCCTTCGCCACATTCTCCCCACAACTGAACAGGGTTCCAATTGCAGCTTTGCTCAGATTTGCTTCACAGTAATTTCCCGGACTAGTGGATTCAAACCCAGTGACCTGACGTACAACATGACGCGAAACCCCGCCCATGCCTGCGCCGTCCTCACAATTGCTCTCATGCCTGAGCCCGTTGTGGCAGTCACTGTGTCAATTCACCTTGTTGGGGGCCTTCCGCTTTTCGCTGCTCCTCCACTTTACTAAAGATGATGTCCTCTCCAGGGACTGATCTCTCCTGACAACATGCCTGAAGCACATCAGACAAAGTCTCACCGGCCTTATTTGTGAGGAGTTTCTCACTGCACTTCTCTCAAGACCAAGTTGTTTGTTCTTATGCCAGTCCAAGGTACTTTCAGTATTCTTCACCAGAACCATAACTCAAGTGCATTCATTCTTCTTTGGTCTTCCTTATTCAATGTCTAACTTTATTTATTTTTTTATCACTTTACTGGGGGCTCGTACAGCTCTTATCACAATCCATCCATCCATCCATTGTGTCAAGGACATTTGTACATTTGTTGACATCTCCATTTTCAAAATGTTTTCTTTCTACTAGAGCCCTTGGTATCAGCTCATTTTCCCCTCCCTCCCTCACCTCTCCCTCCTTCATGAACCCTTGACAATTTATAGATTATAATTATTTTTTCATGTCTTACACCGACTGATGTCTCTCTTCACCCACTTTTCTGTTGTCCACCCCCCTGGGAGGGGGTTATATGTAAATCATTGTGATTGGTTCCCCCTTTCTGCCCCCACCTTCCCCTTACCCTCCTGGTATCACTTATTCTCACAAATAAGGCTGGTGAGACTTTGTCTGATGTGCTTCAGGCATGTTGTCAGGACACTAACAAAACAAAACAAAAACTCAGAGAAAGTCTACAAATTATGCAGTACACCATCAAGAGGAATAAATTAACTGAAATAAGAATTCCAGAACACAACTTTTATTTTTAAAGACCAGTTTAAACTCTCAAATAATTATTGGAAGAAAATCTCCCTACTATCATGAAAGACAAGAAGCTATGCAATCAAGAAACTGAATGAACCCCAAACAGATCCATCACAAAAGAAAAGAACAAAGATTCCAAACTTTCCAAAACCAGAGATAAGGAAAGGAACCTATAAGGAGCGTGGGAAAAACAAAAAGTTACCTTAGAAGAAAACCAGTAAGACTAAGCTCTAATTTCTCAGTAGAAATCATGCAGGCAATTGGTGGGGTTCGATCAAGTGCAATGTAGCAAAGAATAAGTACAGAGAGCCGAATGAAGGTTGAACACCATAATAAGACACAAGGAAAGTTTTGGAGGAAATAGAGGAAAGAACTAGGAGGCAAAAGACATTTATAGAGGTATAAACAGAGGCATGTTCATATGTGTATATATTAATATATAACGATAAGTATATAGGTCTATGTACATAGATTTATAGGTTAAATATTAAGGTAGCAGACGAACCCCCTCAACACAAGAACACTTTGTTCTAATAACCTGGCATTCTGTGATGCTCATCTTCCCAACACGATCGCTGAAGACAAAATGGGTGCATAAGCTAATGTGGTGAAGAAAGCTGATGGTGCCTGGCTATTAGAAGATAGAGCATCTGGGGTCTGAAAGGCTTGAATTTAAACTGGCAGCCATCTAGTAGGGAAGCAACAAAGCCCACATGGAAGAAGCATACCAACCTGTGTGATCACGAGGTGTTGACGGGATTAGGTATCAGGCATCAGAAGACCCAAAATAAATAATCATTTGTACGTGAACAACAGGGCTCAGAATGGAGACCCAAAGCCCATCTGTAGACAATTGGATATCTCCTCACAGAAGGGTCACAAGGAAGGGACTAACCATCCAGTGTGTAGTATAGCGCCCAAAAGACACACAACGTCCCTCTAGTCCTTTAATGCTTCCTCCATCATGACTCCAGTCCTATCTTACAAAGCTGGCTAGACCAGAGCATGTGCACTGTTACAGATAAGAGCTCTTGACACACAGAATCCAGGACAGATAAACCCCTCAGGAATAGTGATACCATGAAGGTAGGGGGAAGGTGGGGGGAGAATGGGGAGAAAGGGGGAACCGATCACAGATATTGACACACAACACCCTCCCCCTCCAAGGGGGATGAACAATAGAACCATGGGTGAAGGGAGACAGCAGACGGTATAAATATGAAAATAAAATAATTTATAAATTATCAAGAGTTCACAAGGGTGGGAGGGTGGGGGGAGGGGAGCTGATACCAAGGTTCAAGTAGAAAGAAAATG